ACTTGAAAGATTTGTAGAACATTTCATACAGATATGAACATATCAATGTAGTTTGAAAAGTCCAGTGACTTAGACCTAACTTCTTCCTTGCAGATAGCTTGCAAGTGTATTCATCCAAGATCCAATATTTTAATATTACCAAAAGAAGAGTGCGATTTAGTTTAGAATAAATATCATTTGTAAACCAGCGAGCAGACTGACGACTCTTCTGCCTTCTCTGTTCATGTCGAGAAGTTGTTATCCGTTAGTTTTTGGTTCTTTTCCAATCTAAATATATGAGAAACAGAAACCAAAAAAACTGGACACTGCATAAAATGGATTAGAAAACAGTGTACTGTCAGAATAAAAGAAGGACAAACCAAAATTCTGATTTTAAAATAGGTACCTAGAATTTTCTTAACAATCCAAAAATGTAATGATATACAGGGTGTTCCATATAAAACAAAGTATCATCGTTCTGGCAAGTAATTTGAATGTCGATTATTCTGACTAGTAAAACTTGAATACTTTCCTGCTATCCAGTGTGTTGCAGTCATATGGTTTGGTTATGCACGTGAATTCTCTCACACGGATTACAGCTACATAGGTACATGTTAAAATATTATTATTGCATCGGGAATAACTGATTGAGGCAATTTGCTCAATTTTTCCATCTGCCTTTGGTGGGCTCCCACCGAAAGGTCTGACGGGGTAGCATATTCGACGGAAAGAGTATTTTTTGACAGGTGTTGGCAGACTGTTATGAACGCGCCTGATCCGCCGTCTTCATTTTATTTTGTTCTTCTTGGTCAATACCGATGTATTTGACTTACCTGAATTATTTACGGATTCAGGGTAAAATTTTTCAATATGCCGATGACACAACTATTTTCTGGCTTGATCTGGATCCTGAAATTCTTGGATCTGAGTTAGCTATCGAGAGAGAGTGGTGTGCATCTAACAGGCTGGTTTTACTAGTATCCTAGGATTTAGGTGCGATGTGGAGAACCTCTATCTCGAAAATAATGGTGCGTGCCGTTTCTTGGGTCTGCTTCTTGACGTGAATCTTCAATTCGAGACACACATTCTCGATGTCTGTTATAAACTATCATCTGGGTGTTTCGCCATAAGACTGGGTAGGTAAGTCTGTTGCGCGAACGGTTTATTTTGCACATTGTCGACTTGCTTTTTTGGAGTCTCACGACTAAATCGCTGGTGAATACTGTTCTTATCTTGCAGAAAAAAGCTGTGAAATACGTGTGCGGAGCCAGTTTGAGGGAACCCTGCAAGCTATTATTTGTTTCAGACAGAGTTTTGACTCTAATGTGTCTTGGTTCACAAATATCGTAATGATTATGATGCCACCAATCATCAATCATAACTATTCAACTTGTAGAAGACACAATATTCCACTGCCTATTCCGTCGAGTACACATCACAAGGCGAACCCTTGTTTATGGGAGCAGAATGGTATAGGTACATCATTTGCCTGGGGCAATTAGGGAAATGCAGGATCTGACCGGATTTAAGCGTATAGTCTGGGGAAGTTTTTCCTTGCCAAGTCTTATTATAACTTGGAAGAATTTTACGCCGACAATGTTTAGTTTTATCTTTGTAAATGTATGATATATTTGCTTTAGTCTGCCATGTAAATTGTTAATAGTTTTATATAATTGTTCTACCACATCTATTCTTTTTTATTTTCAAATTTATACGTCTAGTTTATTTTAGTTTTAAATTTTAGAGTTGGCATGCTTAGCTGGTATAATTAAAGTAGGTACTTACCTATATTCACTTTATTATCCAGATACAAGATCAATTGACAAAGCATGCCAACTCTAAAATTTTAAACTAGAATAAACTAGACATAAATTTGAAAATAATAAAGAATAGATGCGGTAGAACAATTATATAAAACTATTAACAATTTAAATGGCAGACTATTTGTGTTTTCTAAGGAATTTGACTGGTCCTTTGTTAGTTGACAGGTCAATTGGACTAGAAAAGATTTTGACCGGTCAATATTCCAACCCTACCTATTGGTTAAAATGTGGCGAATGACCCTATACAAGAGTAAAATAAAGGAAAAGTTGAACAGAAATACATTAGAAAAAAACATACACACATAAAAATCTATGAAGAAGAGTGGCAAACATTTTTCTTAAAACTCACATCTATAAAAAAGAACAAAGAAATGGAACAGCTGTGGAGATATAGAAAACAGTCATTTTAAATTATTACGAGTGCCATATGGGTTCACAAACGCTCCTGCGATCTTTCTACGATAGATGGTATTTTATACGGGAAATTCAATACGAAAAATACCCTCGTAATTTGATGACATCATCATTTTCTCAACGTTCCTATAAAATCACTTCGTATTTCAGAGAATAGAGACACGAATTTCAGGATCCAATTATAGGCCAGGCAACATAGGCCGAATAAGGGGGTGTAGCCGAATTAATTATCGGAAAGCTGATTTTAATTTTCTCATTTACGTGTGAAAAGAGCTTTTTAAAGTTGGCATAAATTTTCTGCTTCTGCTCTATACGGGGTGTCCCAAAAACCTGGACATTTGCTGAGTTTTCACAGTTTTTCCCTAATAACACCTAGAGGATGAATTTCTAGGAAATTTTTACTCTTCTATAAATTAAAGTACACAAAATTTTGCGTCGAATGAGTATCATAGTCTCGCAATTATCTCGAGTGGTTGGGAAAATATGCAAAATCAAGCAGCGACGATAGCTTCTATTTAAGAGTAAAAATTCCCTAGAAATGCATCGTTCAGGAGTTATTAGTGAAAAACTGAGAAAAGTCAGGAAATGTCCAGGTTTTTGGGACACTCCGTATAGAGCACAAGCAGAAAATGTGTGCAAACTTTGAAAAACTCATTTTATAAGTAAATGAAAAGACTAAAACCATTTCCAGCTTTCCGAGAATTAATTCGCCTAAGAACCCTATGTTGCCTGGCGTATTCGATAAAAGCGAATTTCTCATACGAAGGAGCCTACTTAGGATATAGAGAGTAACACCTGGGTCCTTATTCTTGAAACAGGGGAGCATTGTTCTCAGGAGAACGAGTGTTCCGTCATTGTTACTTATATTATCATTTCCATATCATTGAGAAAGACAGAACACTCGTTCTCCTGGGAACGCTGCTCCCCTGTTTCAAGAATAAGGACACTGGATGAGTGAGATCCAATCCCGATGAAGTTGAAGCAATCCAAAATTATCTTATATTTACTTAAAACAACCAAGTATATCAAATAAGGATTTCTCGGATTACTAAGTTACCCCTTTCCGACCTATCATAATGACTTCGCAAAATTGACAAAACCAACAGTTACATGTTTGAAGTAGTAGTTTAAAATGTCGTTATAATGAAAAAAGGAAAACAAGAATACTCTCTTCAGAAACATCACGGCAAGTCAGAACGATTCCGATATTTGAAAAACGCCCAGTCAATTTGTCAACAGCAAACCAAAAAATAATGAAGATATAATATAGGTACGAGATTAATAACCATATTAAAACGAATATATAAGTGTTACGATATTTCCAAGAATGATGCCAATTGTGCGTTACTGAAAATAATGATGAGAAGAATTCAGGAAAAAAATTATGGCACAGAACAAAACTTGAGAACCTTCGACAACAGAGTGAGATAGTGAGTGAGAAAATAAGAATACTGGAACAAATACATAAGCAGACTGATGGACGAAGTTGAACATCCCTTGTCAGGGGGTATAGATCACCGAAACGCTAGAGAAATGTTGGACCATCATATGTCCAAAGTCCGGAGAGGCATGAAAGGAAAAACATATGCAGTAGGTACACTCGCCTATAAAGTATAAACCTATATATTTGGACAATTGTATTTTTCCGTTTTGATATTATATGTGTTTATATAGGAACTTGTTAGACTTTGATTATTGTACCTACCCATTCAAATATTTTTAGAACTAGAAAGATTATAACTGACCCAAACTAGCCCAATCTTGATATAAAGGAACAAATATAAAAATGTTCAAAATAAAAAACAAGAACTCCAAGTTCAATCTTGGCGTGTGTCCACGTAAGGGCTAAACTAACCCAATAAAAACCTTTATCCTGTGTTTTTGTTTATTCTTCCATTATTCCATTAAGATTTCTAGGGAGTCAAAAGTCCTAGCTGCGAATTTTTCATAAAGATACTGACTACTGATGAGTACAAAATCTTGTCTTTAGAAACATTTAAGTAGGAATAATAATGAATTAAGTATCCTTTTTTAAATCTGATGCGTATTGGTACTAGCAAAATTCCTACGCGGTAATGGGTGCTATAAAATCATCGCACAAGACGTTCGTATTTATCGCGATTGCATAAACTGCCAGACAATACGCATCGAAATCAAGCAAGTCACATTTTTTCTAGGCTAATGTGGTTTGTCTTTTTATGGTCGCTACTGCTATTATCCTTGCTCCAAAAAAAAAGTAAACGACTTTATTGATGTTTTGTTTATGAGTAGTGCTGTAGATTTTTTGAGATTTCATTACATTTCATCAGTTGTTAAAAATCTTGCATTACCTACGTCAGGTGCCAACACCAAAAAAAATAAAAAAGTAGTACAACAGTTGTGAGTTCACATAAATTGGTTAGGTATTAATTGGTACCTAGGTGCATCTACTATGGTACTACTGCTATTTTTTTTAAGATTTATATTTGATTCAATAATGGGACTCTGGGAACGGGTTTGACGTCGTTGAATCATGTTATCGGGACAGTCAACGCGTTAAATAAAATTAATCGATACAATAATTAGATATTAATAATTACTTTTGAGAAGAATCGTAGTTTTAGGCGCCAACCAGGTAGCCAAAAACTTGTTTGGATATATCGAAAAAGTGACCATTTTCGGTCTGGCATGTCAAATTAATAGCCATTCAATCGTGAAAAATATGGGGATGCTGATCTGATGATGTTCCTCCGATCCAATGAGAAATTACTAAGCAAAATGGCTGTAAAAAAAACGAATACTTACAGTAATTTGAATATAAATGGTGCAATTGAGCTAATAAGTTCGACTTTCTATCAACAATATTTAGATTTGCAATAAATACTCCTTAGGACGGGTATTATAAAACTACTTTGAGAGTTAACTTAAAGTTAACTTCTAAAATTACATGTAATTCAAAAAGTTAACTTCAAGTTAACTGTCAAAGCAGTTTTATAATACCCGCCCTTAATCGGACACAATGACAATATTTTTTTCGGATTAAAGGTCATGAACATTAGTTACGTTTTTTTTTTTGTTTTTTTTGATTTACACACAATGCATTACAGGGATCAAGGCCATTTAAATAGAAAAATAGAATAGGATTAGGAATTTTTCAAGCTAAACAAATTACTATTAATTATTGAATACTTTGTTACATAAAGCCCATAAAGGGGTCAAAACAACAGCTTTACGCGTCTTATGGGCCTCGCCAAATTCAACTTAAGTTCTCTCAAGGTTGGCATTGACAACATTTCTCTGAAGTCGCATTACTCATAATAAGGACCTCTCAAAGATTGGTATTTTTATGGTAACTTTTAATATGTACCTAACATCAGAGATATCTAATCTAGTATTTGACCTAAACGCAATGGGGTACTTGCATCAATGTTTTTTATTGCTGATTTCGTTAGTCGATAAAAAATGAGTCAACACGTGTTTTCTTCTTAGTTAAAAATTGACGGAGATACGACGCTATGAAATATGCCTATGACGTCATCAGGTATAATACTTCAAGACGTCAGTATATCTATATAAACAAAACTTACAGGTCAATTCTGTGCATATATGTAAGCAAATCTATGAATTTCTATGAGGAAATAGACACTGTAAAACACTGTCGATACCCTATTATTACTACTGTAGCTGGCCGCCCAAGTACTCTTTTGATTTTTAAAGGTTAGATGGTATAGGTATGCGAGCGGGTTTATTGATGTTAGTTATTTCCTTGGGTAGCTACAGAATTAAATGGTGAAGGGGGTTTACTTGTAAAAGAGAGAAACAACTGCGAAAATGAAATTACCACAGTGGCTGCTTGCTTTATAAGTAGGTACCATTAATCTCGGATGTTCACTCTGCCATACTTCCTCCCCGCATAATTTTTTTTTCTGTACAAGTTTGTACTGCAAATATATTTTTATGAGCTTCGACTACAATGAAAGACAAAACGCACTATCCTTTTCACATACTTTAGTGGTTTCACCCTCGAATACAATTTTGTATTGATACAGTCCTTCGGACGCTTTATTTCCCATGTAGACACCGCATTTACACTGTCTAGGCAGTTTCTTTTTATATAAGGGCACAGGACTCCATTTCTCAAATGTATTTCGTTATTGGTTCCTAACAAAATCTCTGCATAATAATCTTGTAACTGTACTACAACATTTTCCATCTTCATGGTACCTACACTGCTCCTGCGCATTTTCCGTGATCATCAAGTTTTCCCGCTAACACTAGGCTAGTGGATATTGTTGAATTCGGTACCAATCTGCCAATTATGTGACCATTAAACCCTTTATATTGGTCGACGGGTTTTGACATAGGCTACCAGGGCGGTTACACTCACAATCACAATAAATGCTTAAAACTTTCATAGTGGTCATTTTGCATGGATTTTTGTTCTTTTTCTCTTGCTCATCTTATTTCTGCAACAATAATATCCAAGAGTCTTTTTTTTCTCGCTTTATCCTTATCTCTAAATTAGGTACTAAGATATTTCTTTTTATTCTAGATTTCTGTTTATTTCCTATCGTCTATTTACTCCTATTTACAGCTTCTTCATTACATAATCCTTAAATCTAGCTGGCCATTTTATGTCCCGTGTCCTTGAACTTTTTCGTACTTCCGGATCGTGTTCCTCGACCTCTTCTTTCTCCTCTTCATCTTCGGAATTTTCCTCATTTTCTTGAATTATATCTTCTTCAATTTTTCTATGCCTTACGGGTAATTCTTATCCCTATACTAAAAATTCATCTTCTTCTTGCGCCCTTATTTCATCATTGACGCCAGTATTTTCATTTCGATCGACGATTTCTTCATTCTCGTCTCTTGTCATTTCCCTTTGAATTAGTGGAAATTCTATGATGTCCTCCCCTGGGTAGTACCTCGTGTTCCTCTTCTTCATCGCCATCGCAATCTTCGTGATCTGGACTAGGATTTATAATCCTATCCTCTAACCCTTTACATGGTTTAAGTCTTTCAGCATGTGAAATCTGCTCTTTCTTTCCATGCAACTCCTTTATTTTAAAAGTAACCGGTCCTAGCTGTTGAGTAATTCGACTTTGTCCTGACCATTTACAACGGAATTTTGGTGCTGAATTCCTCCCGGGTAAAACTGGATTCCTCACATAAACCAAATCCCTGACTTGGAATTCTTTCCTAGTCCGTTATGCATTGTGTTTGTCGCATCTTTTATCAATAGAAGCCTCTGACCTAACTCGTGGGCATTCTGTTGACTAGCTCTGTAGCATAGTTTTCGTCGTTGCCATATTTTACTGGCCCATTTGGCAACATAAGGTGTACTGGAAGCTCCATACTACCTACTACATTGGTGCACAAGAGCTAAATATTCCGGAATTTGTTTCTTGGGTGCTTTGAATAAACAATTATAGCATTTACAGAAATTCTAGAGAATTCTGGGTCGAATGATATGGTATATAAAGCGCGTAGTTTGTGAATTGCATTTTTTACTACTAGATTTGACACCATGAAACCGGGTTTCCTGAAAAGTTCCACAAAACTGTATGGTGTTCTATTTGGAGACCGTAAGTAACTTCACTGATTAGTTAAGCCTACCACGATCTGGTTGAGTTTTACGCAGATTGATTATGTGACTTGCCTGTCCAACTTGACTGTTTGTCCACACGTTTTTGCTAATCGTTTATGTAATTATGTTTCATGTATATTTTATATTTATTTTGACTATACTGACAATAATACAATGGACTAGTTTAGGTTTTGTTTGTTGCATCGTTTCGCCTCTCGTTACACACATATCCAGTTGGACATTATAGTGGCCAGACATGATTTTGTATGGGTCTGTATTAAGTCGCCTCTTTGCCGGCGTTCTCTTAGAGTGGATATCTTTAACCTGGAGCATCGAATTTCATACGGAAGTTCCTTCATTTCGGTCGGTATTCGTGTTACACGGCGCTGTACGCGCTCCAGCAGTTCAATGTCCTTAATGTAGTATGGGTTCCAAGATCTCACAGCAAACTCAAGTATCGGTTTTATACCGGTCTGGCAAGTGAACATCTTACATGCCAATTTTAATGCGTTAGAATAGAATGTCTAGAAAAAGTATAGGGTTAAAAAGAGAACGAAAACGATTTTCCCTGTTCCACTTCCAGAATTCCTAGGGCATCATGCCAGACCTGTATACCTATAATTATTGAACAGGAGTGATCCTTAAATGCTTTTTGGACAAGATACATGAAGGAAGTTGTTTGTTCTCTTTACTCTTCTCGCCATGTGACTTTCCCATTTAAGATCTTTTGTCACAACTACTCCAATGTCTTTTTTGGTGGTCGACCTCTTTGAGGGCTTTTCCAAGGAGGGTATATTGAGTATTTGGGTTGTTTGGACCACACCTCCACAGTCCTCAGATCGTTCTGCAGTGAGATGGTATCACATAGTAGTGGATTATAGTACAATTTGGTGTCATCTGCGAAGAAGCAGATTCTGCTGTCAGTCACCATATCGCTGATATAAACCAAGAGCAGCAATGGTCCATAACCAAGCCCTGAGGAACTCCACTCCTCACAGTTCTTTCGCCTGACATCTATCCTGACCTGAAACCTGCGCTTGGTAAGGAAGCCACCAATTCAGGATAGAAGTGGGCCCCCAACGCCATAGCGATCAAGCCTGTAAAGCAGTCTGCGAAAAGGGACTGTGTTAAAGGCCTTTTCAAAGTCAAAATATACGACATCCACTGGTTGACCACTGTCCTGCAAAGTAGTCCAGTCGTTGAGACATGAAAGAAGGTTTGTATCTATGGATCTTTTCAGTAAGATTCCGTGTTGACATGCTGGTATTATGCTCCATGCATTTGGAAAGTGTAGATGTTAGGCTAATGGGTCTGTAGTTTCCAGATTGGCAGCAGTCACCCTTTTTATAGATGGGAGTGACAACTGCGTGGGTCCAAGCATTGGGGACATACCTAGCCTGCGGCCAGGGCCTTGGTCCGTGCTATTGACAGCGGTCCACACAAGATATCGGCGCAATTTTTCAGGTACACTGGTGGAATACCGTCGGCGCCAGCGGCAGAGTTGTTTTTAAGGCTATGAATAACGTTCTGGACCTTTTGGGGAGTGAAGTCGATGGAGGTTACTGTGCGTGAATTATCGGTGTTTCAACGTATTGACTTCGGGCTGTATATTGAAGACTTCCACGAATTGCTTAGCGAACACTTCTGAGAACAAGCTAGAAACCAATTTTTTAGTTCAATTTAAAAATTTCTTGTTTCACATTGTTACACCAGGTTTCTACATAAAAAGTAGGAACAAAAAAAAATAAGCTGATAAATATAATATATTATTTATTTAGGATTATACAATGTAGCTATGTTTCCTATATACATATACATAAAAAGATTCACTTGTAAAGCAAACTACTTTAGAAACGAAAAAAGAAAAAAATAATGTGATCATTAAAATCCAATAATTTAAAAATAATTAAATCACAGTTTCGATTTAGCACCAAATCAAATAGAAATTTGGCTAATTTTATATTTTTTTTTACACTTATTTACAGGTTAATCAAAGATATCTAAACCAGCAAGAGAGCTTACCTATCTAATTATATTACATAATTACATTTCATTTAAAACACAAAAAAAGTTAACAACAAACTTTTAAAGCCAATTTTACACAATAAATGATGTTTATTTAACCAGTTGGGAATGACTAGGTAGGTGTTGAATTCACAAACAATAACCCCTGCATTAGCATCTGTTAAAAAGTTCAAATGGATACATTCTCCAGGCTCCGGATATTATTGACGAATATTATCTGAATTTATTGGATTGTGGTGCAAATAATATTTTGGCTGCTGCTATTGGGTCTCACGTGTACTTATGGAATGCTGGAACTGGCAAAGTCAATGAAGCAGGAAATTATTATGTAGGTTCCAAGAAAGTGATTCTTTAGCTATAGGCACACAACCCAAGAAACTGTGGAAATATGGGCAAAGAGACTTCGGACATTGAATGGTCATTCTGCAAGAGTTGGTCGCGGGCCTAAAACTCGTCCTCGTACATTTTGACTAGTGGGTTGAGAATTAAATAACTTATTCATCATGATGTCAGAGAAAAAGAACACATCTTAGCTACAGTGCCAGCTCACACGAGAAAAATATGTGGTCTAAAATGGTCGCCAGATGCAAAATATTTAGCTAGCAGAGGAAACGACAATGTCCCAAATATATGGTCAGCAGATGAAGGTAGTTTCCATTCTGGAGGCACACCTTTGCACGTTGTTGATATTTGGTTTGATCATTTTAATTAATAAATAAAGGTTTATATTTTGTGTAATTACCTACCTAGCGTCTTTTCCAGCGCGTTTCATAGAACACTTTTTTTCTAAGTTCAAAAACTTTCCAATTAAAATTAAAAAAAGAAAAAAAAACTCTACCATACACTTTTGGCAGTTACAAGCTAACTACTTTATGTCACTAGATGCGAAAAGTAAAACAAATGTGAATTATATCAAATCTTTCTGTCATACTAAACTCGTTTTAAAACGCACTAGACAACTTTTATTTATTTGTTTAAGGCTCTACAACATGAAAATGGCTTTAAAATTTTTTAAATTGAAATCACAATTTACACAATCAAATAATAATATAAAGTTAAGATATTGAAAATAAATTGCAATAAATTATTAATAAAATATGTATGTACAGCAAAATCTATTACAAATTCGACAATTCAGTATTATCAAACTGAAAGTCGTAATCGAATATGGCAGACAAGGAGGCTTAATTCACAGAGGGACATGAGCAAAACTAATTAAATTTATTTAATTTGTGATGTGCGGTAGGTAAAGGGGCTTCAAATGTGTACACACTTCAAATCATGCATTATTGAATACTCAAAAAACAGAAAAAAAAATCCTCTCTGTATAATCAAGACAATCCTATTGTCTATTGGACACTTCATTTGTATTGCTACAAATAGTTTTGGGGGTGCTTTGTTGTGTTATAATACTATGACTAGGATTGACAATAGCACGTTTTGTTGCTGATGGAACATAACATTGTTGCTACTACTGTGGGCCTCTAATAACTGTTCGCACCTCAACTTCATTGAATTACTTTCAACCAAATCTATGGCAAGTTTGATTTTTTTGTCAATGGCATTTACTTCAACATTCTCAGTAGTAATACAACTATGTATTTCTTTTTCGTCATCCAAAACTTTTGTACAACTTTTCACATTCATAGTGCAATGTTGGTGTAAGTTTGACATTTGATTATATTTTCAGCTACTGGAGGCTGGGGTAGTTGTTGAAAGGTTTGTGATTGAAATTTCTATAGTTGTACATTATTATAACTAATAGTTAGTTAATGGAGGTCCATTTTGCTGTGATGTCAAATAATCATAACAGTTTGCGCAGCATAACTCTAACTCTGCTGAAGATGTTGTATTGCACATGCAGCTATATCATATTAAAAAATTAGAATAGCTTAGATGTAAAGTCAATCCTGCTGGATTTGCAAATTATGCTGGCTTACTACTGATAATTAATTAATAGGCATTGTAAGTTGTATTTTTTTCCGCTCAGTACAACATAATTCCACACAATTATCCTAAATAAAATAAAGAATAAAGGGCAACTTAAATAAAAATATAAAACTCCTGGAATAAATATGTTTTCCAGGTTGTAGTCACCTTGTATTAATCAGTACCAGCCTGATTTCTATTGGACACTTTCTTTGCCGGTCTGAAGGTTCGTTGTATTATTAGGAATGGGTTGCGGGGCGCTTTGTTGTGTCACAACATTGGGACTAGGATTGACAATAGCAATATTTTGTTGCGGCTGCTGAAAGGTTGCATTGTTGCTACTATTAGGCGGGGCCACGTTCTTTGGAACTTGGGACCTTAAATAATTATTTTCAGTCTCCAATTGTTGGATTCTTTCCATTAATTCAGTGATTTTCTCTTTGAGCACTTCCACTTCTTCCCTTACGGTGTACATCAAATGGCTCTTGACTAAATCCATAGCTTGTTCGATTTTGTTGTCAATAGCGTTCACTACAGGATTGTTTTTTGTTGAATCGTCAACATTGTCATTAGCTGTAGTACTACCAGTCTCCTCTTTTGCTTCATCCAAAACTGTTGTTAAAGTATTAACATTCATGGGAAATTGTGGGTTTGGATGTGATTCGAAACTTTGAGGCTGGATTACAGTTTGAGTTTGTGGAGGTTGTAGTTGTTGTTGTTGCTGTTGTTGAAAAATTTGTGATTGTGGTGGTTGAAATTGTTGTTGTTGTTGTTGTATGGGGGGGTTATTATTACTATTGACTATAATTGTTTTGGAAGGTTGATTACTCGATTGATTAGACATTACTTGAGGCTCATTTTGCTGAGGATAGGGATTATGTCCATTCATCATACTAGCCTGCATTGTAGGTTGCCCAGCATAACTCTGACTCTGCTGAAAATGTTGTGTTGTAGGTACAAAAGCACTGTTCTGAGTTGGTATTGGAACATACTGAATATTTGGGTAGCTTTGCTGTAAACTAAATCCAGCAGGGTTTGCAAAATATGCAGGCTGAGTATTAATAAACTGGTTATTATTAGGCATCTGTTGTTGTTGAGGATTTGGATAGAAATATTGACCTTGTGGAATTAATTGAGGCATATTTTGAAAAAATTGAGTATTTCCTTGCAAAAGCATTTGTTGGATTTGCTGTTGAGGTAAGCTTTGGGATTGTATATAAATAGTTTGCGGATTGGGTGTTTGAATGTTAGCTTTAGAAACATTAGGAGGGGGAGCCTCATCAACATAATCCATACATTTCCATCTGCCTCGCTTAAATGGCTCTAAACTTGCAATTTTTACAACTTTAAACCTGTCATTAGTTCTACTAGGAGTGCTATGAATTATTTCTTTACCATCCTCGACACTCTTATTGCTATTGCTGATAATGGCAGCAGTAGATGGGTAAGTTGCCGAAGCAACTGAATCACTATTAGACGAAATTATAGCGACACCATACTGAGGGCTAGTGGGGATTACATTGGCAGCCCCATTAGTGGTCATGACAGCGATGAGCTGCTGCGTGACTTCTGGATGATTTTGCAGTTGGTGCAGGGTCTCGACATTTGCAGCTGGAGTATTTCCCATTGTCGCATCAAGCTGACCTAAGGACATGCAAATGTTAATTTACACAATTAATTTTAGCTACATTTCTTGTTTAATGTGATTCACAGCCCAGCACTCGCAATCTCAATATGATTTTATGATTGTTTTTGGAGAAAATATTCAAAATATCACTGTAACTTTTTCATTTTTGTCTACTTAAAGCTTATTAGTCAATAGATTTAAATGTGTACTATAATAACCCAAAGATGCGAAATTTTGGCAAATTGAGATGGAATTAAGACCTTTCTTATAGGATTTTAAGTTTACAGACAAAAGTTTCTGGCATGCAAATTACTTGGAACAATTAAAACACATTCTATGTTAAGTTTAGCTATTCGAAACAAAATTTAACTTAGTTTTTGACTTTGCAAGACAGTTTTTTACAACTAAATTTGAGGCCTAGTGATAGAGGATAAAATCCTGTTTTTAAAATCACTCTTGCTTGTTGAAAATACTCCAATTACTAGAAAAAAAGCCTGAGTTGAGTTGGGGGAATGCTGAGACGTTTCTTATTGAGTTTGGAGACTCCTAAACGGGTTTAATTACTTTTTTGCCCTACCTTCAACATTCTCAAGTATATTTTTGACATCGTCCTTTAGTCTTGTCCGGTACGACTTTGAGAGAGCCTCCTGGGCCTCTTGGCTTTGCGGCAAAGCGCTATTTGCCATTACTCGGTTGTATTTAAGGAAAATTAAAAAAATTTAGAATTTTTGGAATTATTGATAAAAAAGTAATAACAAACAATAAAATCTATTTGAGGTTAGGTTGACAATTGACTAGTGACATTAGTGACAAGAGAATCATTTCAAATTGCGTAGTTTGAGAAGGTGCGTTCGGTACATGCCACTGTACTCTGTAGGTGAGTTCGGAATGGTAGAAACTGTCGACACTTTTGACACCGTGGAGTTCGTTAAGGTGTGAAGATGGTGGGACACCGTTTACTCGGTATAAAATTATGGTGTATTCGGTGTTACACCGCCGATTATACCTCATCACGTGATATAATACTGCACTACACGAAAACCGCACTAGCACTGCACTAAAATCTCATTCCGAACTCAACTTATACTGCACTAGGTGCACTCTTATAGGTGAGTTCGGATTGGTAGAAAGTGTCGACACTTTTTACACTATTGACAGCGTAGCGTTAGTTAATTGGTAGGAGATAGTCTGGTGTACACTCTATTTGCGTTTGGAAATAATTTGGTGTCCGAATGGTGTGAAGGTGGTGGGACACCGTTTACTCGGTACAAAATGATGGTGTATTCCATAGATTTGTATTCGATGTTACACCAACGATCACACCTTCATCGCGTGATATGCACTGCACGTGCATAGTGCACTACACGAACACCGCACTAGTACTGCACTAGGTGAGTTCGGAATTGTAGAAAGTGTCGACACTTTTTACACAGTGGCGTTCGTTAATTGGTAGGAGTAAGTTTGGTGTACACTTTTATTTGCGTTTGGAAATGATTTGATGTCCAAATGGTGTAAAGATGGTGGGACACCGTTTACTCGTTACAAAAGCTGTATTCCTTTCAAGAGTTTTAAACACTTGAGCTACTCGCTCCGGTGTTTAGTCGCCCCCGATTTTCAGGGAACAGATGCGTGGTGTAGCAAACACTTTTCAAAAGGAATCAGTGCGTGAAGCCCCGGAGCTGTTCCGGAGCTCCTCCTAGGTGTGAAAGGAATACAACTAATGTGATGGTGTATTTGGTGTTACACCGTCGATTACATCTTCATTACGTGATATGTCACTGCACTACACGAACACCGCACTAGCACTGCACTAAAATCCCATTCCGAAGTCAACTCGTATCGGTGCAAGATCTCAGTGGAACAAAGCTTTAATTAATAATGCAAAATTTAAATCAAGAAATCCAAATATAATAGTTAGGTTTGCCGTTGAAACAACACTAATTTTCATAATTCAGGGTCGGTTGTTTTTCGTCCACGATTCAAAATCCTGGCTCGCTCGTTTCGAAAAGGAGCTGTTCTGAAGAGTACTTTTCTGAATCTGTCAACTAAAAACAAATGAAAATGTCAAGGCACAAATGTCAAATCCAAAAATAAACATAACCTCCTAAAAGATAAGAAAAGAAAGAAATGTAGACTTCCAAATCCAAACTCATTTAAATCATCTTCAAATTATTATGTGGCAATTCCGATAACAGTTTCTAAAAATCTCAACAGCGAAAGATGGCCCCTCTAGCAATAAGGTCGACACCAAAAATCCAAGCTAAACAGAACACTTTGAAAAAGTACACGAATTTGGGGAAAAAGTTTCTGTTCGATCCCCATTACTTGGGACCAGTATGTTTTCTACTGTTTTTAGGCGAAGCTATTTGTAATGCACTGATTATTGAAAATGTTAGGTATACAGAAATAGATTGGGTAGCTTATATGCAGGAAGTCGAAGGATTTTTGAATGGGACCTTGGATTATCAACATCTAAAAGGTTTGTATGATTTTCTCCAAATGTATACTTAAATTTCAATTCATAAACTTTATGAATTGTGTATGAGACAAGACATAGACATGATAAAGATTGTCCTCAGGTGCTGAATAAAAATATCACTGTTTAGAATTACCTAAAGTATTGAGTAATTAACTACTATCAATGCACAGCATTCATGATCCAGTGACTATCATTGACAATACCTACAAGCATATTCTTGCATGTTACCACATATGGATTAATGCGAGGATTAATGTTTTCTGGATTAGGTATTTGATGCATAAAAAGTTACATAATGCTTGTTTATTATTTTTTTTGGAACCAATTTATTCATTTATTTAAACAGTGGATGGTAACAAAGACTCTCCAAACAGTTTGTTACATCTCTGGCCTCAACAGTGATACTTAAAAAAAAAAAAAAATTACAAAATCCAGCAGACTCACAAATCATGCAAAAATAGCAAATACCTATAAGGTACTACCAACCCATGTAACAATGAAAACAACAATAAAGTGGTTGACTTTACATTTACCTACAATAAATTAGCCAAGAAATTACCATACTTTTCCAATTTCTCAGCAAAGAGGCTGTAACTGTCTATATTTTTGATTCAATCTAGTAATCTATTGTACGTTTTTGAAGAATCTACAATAGGCCTATTAAACTGTATCTTAGATCTATTGTAAATCTGATAGATGTTTTTTTGAGCTCTAGTTTCATAACTATGTACCTACTTCATTAGAAAACGCTATTTTTGTTTCTTATGAATTATTCTTTACATTAACTTGCATTGTTTCGCCTGCAAGGCGCTAAACTCCCAGGTCCATAATGTTGTCGTATGCATGCATCTCTCATAAGTTTAGAGTCGCTTCAATATTTTATTTTGAAGTCTTTGCATTGTGCTAAAAGTTGCATACGCATCAAAGAGGGTAAAAAATTGGATTCAAAAAAAAAGATATTGCTAATCACTTGAATAACTTTTTCGGAAACTTTGGCTACAAAAATTATAAAGCCCAAAAATGCTGAACTTATAAGGATACCTGAGAATGATAAGACTTTCTATATCTACCCAACAGATAGTGATGAAATTAAAGAAATCATAACTCAGATGAAAGACAAATTTATATCTGATAAACAGTTTGGTTTTGTGGAAGGTAGACCAACAAAAGATGCTTTAAATCATGCTTTAGATATTGTTTACAGGAGTTTAGATAAGAGTAAGCCGGTACTTGCAACTTTCTTGGATCTTGTTAAAGCCTTTGATGTGGTAAATCATGATATACTTACCATTGGAGAAATTTAATAACTATGGTATAAGGGGAGTGGCTTTGAAGTTGTTTGAAAGCTATTCGTCAGACAGAAAACAGACTGTTAAATTGTCAAATTACTGCAGTCAGCCTGTGACTGTAACACACAGAGTTCCCCAAGGCACAATTCTTGGGCCATTGTTGTTTGTATTGTATATCAATGAGTTGCTGCTTCAATTGCTGTCAGAAACTATAGTATCCTATGCTGATTTGATATGTGGCTGGCACTTAATCAGTTATCTCTAAACATATTGAAAACAGTGTATACGAGTGGCAAAAAGTCACGCATAATACCTGTAACTTTTTAATTACCTCGTATACGAAAAAGTGACCCTAATGAAAATTGCTCAGTAAATTATTTCCCATAACTCTACTTAAACGTATTGCCTGTGTCAGTTCTGGTTTGTTTGCTATCTAGACCAACTTTATTTTTTCAAATAAAACACCCTGTATGTGATTGCATATTTGGATTCCACATGAAATTCTGAGCAGATTTCATGTGATGATATACCCTATACCTAAGTTCAACTGTTTTGAAAATATTGACAATTGAAAATTGACTTTTTGCAACTTTGACAGGCTGTAGAACCTAAACGGTTAATTTTAGAGGAAAACCGATTTCACATTACTATCTTAGATTTTCATAAACTATCATTCGACACCAACTTTGAATTTAATCTATGATTAAAAATTCCAATTAAATTTTATCCCTATTTAAATTCAAAGTTGGTGTCAAATGATAGTTTAAAAAAATTTAAGATAGGAATGTGAAATCGGTTTTCCTCTAAAATTAACCATTTAGGTTTTACACGCTATCAAAGTTGCAAAAAAGTTAATTTTCAACTGTCAATATTTCCAAAACAGTTGAACTTAGGTATAGGGTTTATCACATGAAATCTGCTCAGAATCTTACATAGAATCCAAATATGCAATCACATACAGGGTCTTTCATTTGAAAAAACAAAGTTGGTCTGGATAGCAAACAAACCAGAAGGGACAGAAACAATTTGTCCAGGTAGAAATGTGGGAAATAATTTACTAAGCAACTTTCATCCAGGTCACTTTTCCGTATACAGGGTAATTAAAAAGTTACAGGTATTATGCGCGACTTTTTTGCCACTCTGTATATATCCTGTTCACAATCCGATGTCCACAGGTGCAGGTACATTTATCACCTTTCCCTATCAAATAGCATTGAAAGGTGATAAATTTTACCGGTACCAGTGGACATCGGATTGTGAACGGATAATAGCTTTTGGTGCATACTGTGATAGTGTCCCTAATCAAAAACGAACAATCGCCAAACAAAAAGAGTAGAGAGTTGTAAGTACTTAGGTATTTACATTGATTAATAGAGTAAGATGGGATATTCGCATTGAATATGCTGTCAAGAGGATTAAATATTTATTATTTATTTTCACAAAGTTAGCTGGCCTTATGCATCTAAAATCGCTGTTGAGTGTCTATTATGCTTTTTTTCATAGTATATGTAACTATCGAATTATAGCCTAGGGAAGCGCATATAACAACGTCAAATGTACCTTGGAATTTCTCCAAAAAAGATTAATGGAAAAAGTCCTTAAGGGTGATGTTAATCTCCCTGTTCCACTGAATTAGAACAGTCTTTCATTTTTGAGTCTCTTACATTTCATTACGAGGATCTAAAATAGTATATTATGCAATGATCATGTAATGATAGCCATTAATATACGAGCATGTTGTAGGATACGAAACGAGCCGCAGGCGAGTTTCGTATATAACATGCGAGACGTCATTTGGGCATAAATTCCGCACCCGATTTATTAATTTTTTGTTGTTTCTTCTGGTAAATACTAATAGAACCAATCCAAAATTCCAAAGCAAGTCTGTTATTTTTATATAAACATTGTTCATGTTCAAAATACTAGATTCCAGTGGCTGAAAAATCTGTATCATAATGAAGTTCATTATGAAACAGATTTTAGGTGTATTATGAAACGTCAGTAGAAAAAGAAACTTTCTCGGAAACTTTATACAATCAAATAGCATTACAAGAAACAAAATCATCAATTTACCAAAGATAAATCGAAATTTATTTACTAAAAGTAGCTGCTTAATTGCAATGAAGACTTTCAATAAACTTCCAAATAAATACAAAACTTTGAAGTACAATAAAGAAACAGTCAAACGAAAATTTAAAAAATGGGTAAAGTATAATGTCACAAGTGTATTGTTATTATAGGTAACACCTTTCAACAATTTCTAACAGATAATTTTATTGATTTTTATTGAATAATATTCCCCTGCATGAATAGCATTTTGCTTAAGCTAGGTTTAGTGTATATCCAGTCCTATGTATAAGTAACTCTGATTACCTCTATTGGTTTTAAAATGTCCAAAAAACATTGTAAAATTTACTGGAAATAAATAAATAAATAAATAAATACATACCCTACAAGAAAGAATCTGAAATGCAAGCCGAAATGGCTTAAGAAGAATGCATTATAAACATTTAATTTAGGTAAATATTCTGGAATTATTGAAATAAGTTTCTTTAGAATATTATTTACATCATGTTCTGTCCTTTAGGTTTTCATCTACATGCTAACCCACATACTCCCTTTGCAGACTTATATCCACAAATTTAATATATATTTGCCCTACCTACTTGTATAAAAAGGAGAGTTTTTATTTTTTCTAAATACCTAAATATTTCCTCAAAGGACCACTTGGTGTATACCAAGAATTTAAAAAACCAATCACCTTTCTTTCTTTCATTTTTCAATCATCTCCATTCTCCACCCTGCTTTAAACATTGCAGAAAAAATCAGTACATAGATATATAATGCATTAAGAATTATAAGAAACTGTACCATTATATTTATTAACATGAATTTGTATATGTAGCTCAAAAGATATGAATTTATTTCCAGAAAGCTTTAATCATCTAAAATTTTGATTTCAAAATGCTAAATAAATTTCATCCTTTTATTGCAATTCCATTAATTTTTGCTAATCCATATTCTAGGTGATACTGGACCCTTAGTATACCCTGCAGGATTTGTCTACATCTTCACAGCTCTCTACTACGTAACAGACCACGGTAGAAATATTTACCTAGCCCAATACATTTTTCTAGTACTGTATTTATTGCAAACCTTACTTATACATCGAATATACAGAATAACAGCGAAAGTTCCTCCTTACGCCCTCATATTAACGACATTGACATCGTTTAGAATACATTCGATATTTGTTTTGAGACTTTTTAATGATCCTGTTGCTGTACTGTTATTTTATATTAGTTTGAATTTATTTGTGTCTGACAGATGGCGATTGGGAAGTGTATTTTTCTCGTTAGCTGTCAGTGTAAAAATGAACATTCTTCTTTACGCTCCATGCTTATTAGTAGCCTATTTAACAAACTTAAGTTACACTGAAACTTTTATAAATTTATTCATTTGTGGTTTTATACAATTAGTGCTTGCCATACCATTTTTGTATGGAAATTTTGTGTCTTATATAAAAGGCAGTTTTGATTTTGGTAGGGTTTTTGAACACAAATGGACTGTAAATTATCGTTTTTTGCCAAGAGAAATTTTTGAACACAAATATTTCCATATAGGACTTTTAGTGTTACATATTTTATTACTTATTGTATTTTTGCCATTATTAAGGAGATATTTAAGCAGCTATTCCAAATTAAACGTGGTTTCTCAAGCATTTAGGTCGCAATTGGAAGAAGAAAAATATAGAAAAATGTTAGCAAAAAAACGAGCCGATGGTACTTTATCCAAGAAGGATAAAATGTATTTAGGAGCAATAAAAAATCAGAAAAGATCAAGCTCGAAAGACTCTCAAGATAGTAGTTTTTATGAAGAAAAAGTCAAACTCCAAGACAAAATGTCTAAAATAGCTCAACTTTTCATTTTGCCATTTTTCATTACAAACTTAATAGGCATAGCTTGTGCAAGATCGATACATTACCAATTTTATTCTTGGTATTATCACAGTTTATTGTATTTAGCTTTTTGTACAAACTTTAGTAAGCCTGTGAGATTTTTAATATTGGGTGTTATGGAATATTGTTTTAAAACTTACCCAAGTACAAACCTGTCGAGTGCTCTTCTGCATGTGTGCCATAGCTTTTTGATATTTGGTGTTTTCCAAACAATGAAAGCTTAAAACTTTGTAGTTTGTTAGTCCAACAAGTAAAATTTCTGGGTTTAAGATTGGAAAGACACTTTTTGCATCTGTGCAACATTTAATTTTTTTACCTATATGTGTTCAATGACAAATACAAAAAGTGTATTCTAGTCTAGATCCTTCGTTTTTTTTTTTATTTGTGTAAATGTTACTTAAGGAAAGAGAAATATAGACGTTTAATGTTTATAAACTAAATTGAAATAATAATAAAAAATTCTATGAGTATGCCGCTGAATGTTTTATCGAAATGTTATGCTGATGTGTACCTACTTAGATGTAAGCTTAAGTAAGTTGAAATTACCACATTTTTCGTGTCAATTGCTCTATACAATCATAAATAAATTACATAAATGACATATTTTTGGCAATAAATGAGATGTTTTTTGAATTAATTGTGTATTTTTTAATTCCAGAATCATAAACCATCAATTATAATTTTATTTGAATCTTACATTCTTGGAACCATGAAAGACATGGTTCAGAAAAGCTTATTTGAGGTCTGTATTTTATCAATAATTATTTAGATAGGATACAATCAGTAGCGGCTCGTCAGAGGAGGCAGGGGAGGCTAAGCTTCCCCCAAAAAATTGAAAATTCATTTTCAGCTTTTCATTCCTGATTTTTAATTAAAATAATAATTCACAAATTACACTTTCCAAATTTCGATATTTCAATGTAGGTAATTTAGAAAAATCTGACAACATTATTTCAATCAATCCCGCGCCTCCACGACAAAAATCTGTGAATCTGGGATATTCAGTAATACGAGCCCGAAGGACCGGGGTTACAAGCGAGCCCGAAGGGCCGGAGTTAGACGCCAGCCCGAAGGGCTAAAGTTATTTTAATCACGGGGCTCAGTCTATAGTTAATTCTATTGGTCAGCGGATAATTTGGAGCCAATCAAAAATCGGGAATATTCAAAATGTGATTTTTAGTCGATATTCCGAGTTTCAGTTCTCTCCGATGTACCGGAAAAAAGTTAGCCTCCCCATCTTTCTTGATTTTGATTTTTTTTCCGAATTTCCAAAATACAAAAATTCCATCGGATAGAGGAGCAAAAAAAACGTTGAAAACCTTTTGGGACCCTGCTTGCTATGACGCATTTTAAGGCCGGGAAAAAATGAAAAAAGGATATTTCGATTTCGGCGATCTGACACGAGGCCACTTTTTCGCTTATAGCTCCGTTATTTCTCAACCGATCGTTTCGAGTCATATCTCTTTTGAAAGAGGATGAAATTACCTACAAAATCTTTTTTTATTGAGATGCCGGGCCGTTTTCGTCTTTGAGATATTAGTTGTCAAAGTTGAAATTCTTTGTAATTTTGTTAAAATTTTCGAGGTCGATTTTCTCGAAAACGGTGCCCCGTGGAAGGATACTTGTTATAGGCTTTTTTGTAGTATTTGACGGGGTCCACAAGTTTTGTATTTGAAGTTTTTCTCCCGAGTTTTTTGTTTTCCAGTTAAGTCGCTTTGAAAATTAAAAAAAAAAAAAATCGAAAGCTGTCGAAAAAAATCAAATTTTGAATTAAAAAAAAAATCTAGCGGATAGAGGAGCAAAAAATACGTCGAAAAGTTAATTTGATCTTTCTCGCTATGGCACATCTTATGGCCGAAAAAAAAAAATGAAAAAGGAAATGTGGATTTTGACCAGAAACAAATTGTGGTTCCCGCTTTTCGTTGCTATGATCGATACTCTTGTAGAGGAATCTACGATGAACCTGAGATTCTACTCCTTCTTCCTGATCAAATAATGTCATTTGGGCTCACAAATGCCTCCGCAACCTTTCAAAGAGGAATGCCTTGTCTGTAATTCTGACTAGAACCGCTTGTCTCTGGAAATTCTACTCCTAATAGGGAGACAATAAATATTATTTTGTTGATGTTAGTGCTATGTTCCAGAGATGATCTGATTTCCTTACTTCTGACTGATTTTAGATGGTTGGTAAATGGTATGGGTTTTCTGTCGGTAAACAAATTAACTCGTGAATCAATCTTTTTTGTGTGGAACCATCAGAGTTGAGCTTATTTTCGTCAGCTGTCAAAGTTGAATTTGATAGTTGGATATCCAATATGAGTCTCTAAAATAATTGACATCTCTCAAATTCTACTGATTTGACACTTGAACCTGGTTGTACTAATAGCGGTTCATTTGAAATATATTATTGGTACCAACGTCACCAAAAGTATCTGGGACACAAATAATGCATAATAATCTCCTGGACTAATTCTACTATCATTAATTTCAATGCATTTAAATTATAGTTTGACAAATATTTGACAATAAAATTCATATAATAGGACAAGAGCTAATGTGCTGCTGTCCCAGTTACTTTTGGTGACGATGGTACTTGAACTTTCCTATTTGAAATGCATTACTGTCAGAAATCTGCCAAAGAGTAAATTTTTTGACAGGTACGCATTGATCAAGTACCAGTAAAGTTCAACTCGACCATTTGCCATTTGGAAAAAAAGACGTCACTTTTAAATTAGGCAATTTTCGACAGCTGTCAAACTTGAATTTGATAATATAATGTCTAATGAGCCTGTGAAATAATTGTCATTTGTCAAATGTGACACTAATGTTCAATCAAAATTCATTAGTCGCTTTTAAATTGAGCTATTTCCAACAGCTGTCAATCTTGAATTTTATCATTGGACTTCCATTGAATATGCAAAACAAGAGTTTTAATTTGGGTTAAATTGAATTTTCCATAGGGAATCGCCTCTACATACCCTCAAATGGAAAAAAGTATTGATATCGTTACTGTTTTTATCCTTGTAAAACATGGCTATTTGTCAAACTTTTTTCCTATTTTCAGTAGAGTGCCTTCCATTTGATTAGTTGATTTATCAATAATAATTATCATTTACCCTAAACAGAGCTTTCATTTCAAAACTCAGTTTAGTGAACTTTGGAATAGTGTGAAGACATAATATGTTATATTCAGCCTTATAGGAAAAAATGTCAATTTTTAGACATTTTGTAATTTTGTTATTTTTGGTTCAATTGACTTGATTTTTCGGTATGTTTTGCCTCAAAAACTCAAAAATATTTCCTCAAATTTCTCATATTTGCGCCTTGAATAGTTTTTGAGTAAATAGCTAAAATGTAGAGGCATATTATGATGTCATATTATGAAAATATTCAATTTGAAAAATTTTGTAACTTTGTTATTTTCGGTTCAATTGATTTGAATTTTCGGTATGTTTTGCCTCAAAAATATTCCCTCAAAATTTCATGTTTTTGCCTTCAGTAGTTTTTGAGTAAATGCACAAAAGGTGAAGCTCGATTGATTTCTCATCCAATAGGGTCTCCCAGTGACAGAAGAGGAGCAAAAAAAATACAATAATTTGACTCCTCGCTACGGTGCATCTTAAGGCCGGAAATAGTATATTAAAGTATAAGTGGATAATAAGGACTTTAAAACACGCGCGATTTTTCGAGCACGACGGCGCAGCCGGAGTGCTTGAAATAGAGCAAGTGTTTTAAAGACCAGTTATCCACGAATACTTTACACTATTTTTTTTTATTGGTATACGTTCAAATCATAAATTACTAATAATTGTAGAATGCTAAATTCGAGCTTGTTATATTCTATTTGACGTTATCTACAAGTACCTACTCTTGACAAATCGATAATTAAAAAGTTGACATTTAGACTTTACCTTTCTTAAGCTTAGTACTCATAACAGCGAAATTCGATCTTTTTTGACATTGCTTCGACAATTTGATGTTAAATGCGTGATTCAAACGTCAAAATTGTCGGAGCAATGTCAAAAAAGAACGAATTGCGCAGTTATGAGTACTAGGCTTTAATTGGGTTGTTGATGTTGTCATGGGTAACTTTAAAACACGCGCGTTTTTGAATGTTGGATTTAAACACGCTGAGGAGTTCTTTAAATAAGTAAAATAAGTTATCAATAAAAAAAAAATTAAAAAGGAAATTTCGATTTTGACCAGAAAAAAATTGCGGGTACTCGCATGAGGCCACTTTGTCAGAATCCCTGTTCTGCAATTATTCTGACATTAGAGTTCGACTGGATGTTAGACTCTCACATGCTCCACTGAAATCTAGCATTCAAATGGACCGCGGATCTGAGCGTCGAATAGAAATTTTGGAAAATGTCGAAATACTTACATGAAGAAAAGGAACATTTTCTCGAGTACCTACTCATGGTTTTTATTGAATTTGAGATAAATTATTGAGGGCATGGGCACCCCAAAACAAATTTTTCCTACTGCGCAATGGGTTACCTTACCTTAGCCTCCTTACTTGAAATAGTCACGAGCCGCCACTGGATACAATGGATGTTACTGATGTTAGGCTCAGATTCCATAAATATCCAGTATTCTGAGAGTCTCTTTATGTTCAAATCAAAATCACATGTAGCTTTATTGTGGAATTTAAAACATTACATATCCATTAAAATTTTGTCTTCAGTGTGTAGATACAAATTTTTGATTTTCTTCATAATTATACGAAAAGGCTAGTTTTCTTGTCTACTGGCTATTGCTTTCATCTACTTTCACAGGATCACTGGTAATAATGTATCAACTCTTGTATATTTCTTCTAAATTACTGTTTATCTTCTGTCCAGGGCTTCAATTTCTGTTTTAAAATTGTTGATAATGGGCAAGAGCCCGCTTCTCAATAATTCCCTCGTTTCCTTTTCAGCTGGCAATGTTTTTTGTTGTATGTCACTTTTTTTACATATTAAAATAAGGGAAAATTCCTTTCATTATTATATCATTTATTAGAAAACGAACAAATGGAAACATGGAATATCAAAAACGAAAATAAATATTCTAATTATAGTCCTTCAGTTAATGACAGATTTTGCTGACCGATTTTCTCTCTTCGGGTATTTCAACAACTGAAAATTTTATCAGTGCTGAGCTCAAAAAATGAAAATTTTGCAACCGGATGTTTGCTAGGCTTTCCTGTTGCAGAAAAAAATAGGTTATTTTTTCAATTTCTCTTTCATGTCATTTTAACACATTTGAAATCTAATAGTGAAAAACCGATGCCATAAGGTTTGCACCTACTAAAAGGGTTGAAATAAGGGCGCAATCTTGTGAAAGAATACTCGCTTTGATATCATTAGGAAGCAGGAAAAAAAATTCCATAAGCTGGTCAGCTGTTGAAGCATATTTTATGGCTGGTACAAAAGGAAAGTAAATTTTCCATATGCCTAGCAGACGTCCGGTCGCTAAATTTTCATTTTTTTGTGCTCAGCACTGACATAATTTCCAGTGGTTGAAATCCCTGAAGAGAGAAAATCGGTCAGCAAAATCATTAGCTGACGGTCTATTAGCGTTATCAAACCGTGAGAAAACCTTGTTATAAACAGTCTTTGCCAGCCATCCGAATCAAAATTTTAAGACCGAAAACGAGCTAATAATTTCAAAATTTATTTCCGTGACTGGAAATGATTTTCTCTTTGGCTGGAACACAGCTTATGTAAACTTTAAAAATACAAACAAATAATAAACTTATCATATCTATCGACATAAAGCTCACATGGTCAATATTATTAATACTGAAACTAAAAAAATAAAAGTAAATAAATGATGTTTTCGAAAAAAAGTGAGCTGAGCGATACTTAAAAATTATTCTAATCCTAGTCAAATATTATGTGGAATTCAATAGAAGGTTTATTTATTGTTTTATTATAAAGTCGACCTCAGATTGAATATGGATATATTTGATATTTGATGTATATACTTCAAAATTAGGAATTAAACTAATTTGAAATAGTAGTACCTTCATGATTTGATGCTGTGGTTCATACTTTAACAAATTAAAGTAACTAATGTACCTGACTGTATCCAAATCAGTGTTACATATCCGAACCTGACAGCTCAGTTTCATTCAGTACCCATAAAAAAGTGTGCTGACCGCGCCTAAAGATGTTTTCACTTCAAATATATATTTTCACCCTTTCTTACCTAAAAATTAAACTCATTCAAGGAAATATAAAATGCACCAAAAGCTTTTTAATTCAGTTGCTAATTTGGAAGTATAAACCAACTATTAGACGTTCGCATATCCAATCTAAGAAGACACCTATAAACTGTTAAGTTGTAAATCTACACTAGATTTTCTTTGGAATATTTTGCACTGTTCTGTAGTTTAGTGTGTTCAATGTCATCTCTATACTTTTTTTAAAAAATCAGGAAATTGACAAAAAATAAGATCCACCTAGTTTTTTCAAGAATATAATATTTTTGCTAACATAAATATGTTGTGCAAGTCAGATCCTATTCTTATAAACACTTTTTTTTCTCAGTATAAATTTAATTAACAAAAATACTTATATTTATTTATTGCGATTCTTGCAAATTCTAGAAAATTCTATAATCATTATTTTCCGAGGCATCCACGAAACTAGCTACTTGGCTGGTTATAGACAAAGAAATATTGTATAAATATGTACTACACCTTTTACAAAATTAAACTAAAGTTCGCCAACTTTCAACTGAAAGCTGGTTTTAATTTATACTACTGACTGCAGTGATCGTGGTCATGCCTTAAATTAAATATGTCATCATTCAAGCTTTATTCACAACCTTCCTTCATATTTGTGTGTTGTTAACAAATAATTAGTATATTTTTAATAATTATCGAGCTCAAAACAATGTTATTGGCATGAATTACACAAAAGTCACTGTACTGCAACATATAAAAACTATAAATGAAAGTTTCTAGAATAAGCAAGATCCTCATTAACAAATTATTATTAAAGAACAAATACATAGTTCAAAATTCTAAATTATACAGTCTCTTCAGTTACGGCTATGCCAAGTTTAATCAACTCTTCATCAATCAACAAATCGTCTTCCAAGCTAGTATCTAGAAGCTTGAGTCTTAAAACTTTATCATATTGATATAAAACGTCCTTTTCCATGTCAATTATGACGGCATGGAATAGTTTATTTTCCACTAATTCTTTAAATCGTTCACAGTCCTCCATTGTCCATTTATTATGTGTTGGTTTTATTCCTGTAATAACGTATCAATGTAATGATGAATAATATTAAAAAAACAAAGATTCTCACCAGCTAATTTCGCTTTCAACGCCATGTAAGGCAGTTCCAAAAATTCACTGTCCAATGGTACAATGCTGTTGACAGATAATGTCTGGTAGTTACCAAAATCACAAAAGAAGACCGATACAGAAGTACCAGAATTAACAACTTTGATGACATTGGCCCTAAAACACATTCAAGATTTATTTTGGAAGTCAAACAAAACAAACAGGATTCCTACCTGTACCAAATCCCATCCTCATGCTTAGAAGCATAAATATTTCCGGGAACAATGTCTTCAACTTTAATCTTGCCATATTCTGCTTTTTCGCATTTCTCTTGGAGCCGCTCCATCATGGTGTTTAGTTGTAGCTCAAATTCGTGAGGCTGTACAATGAAGTTGTAGGGGCTCACAGCCATAACAACTTTGACTTCGAAAAAGGCATTAACTGAAATCAGAATATGAATTGTTTATGTTATAACTTTTATTAATAACGTTATTATTATTATCTTTTTTCCTTATTATACAGTTTCCAGGTTGTGTGATATATTATCTGAGGAGACACTGGGTGCATACCATGTATGTATCTAGGGGGTCTTTTTTGAGATGATGGCGAGTCTGACTAGACTTTTTTTATAGTCTAGTGATAGATTTTTGCCCCTTTTTTTGCAGTCTGTATAAATTGCTTGGTATGTTAGTAGATGGTCTTTGCAGCCGTATAAGTTTTTAATACATCCTTTTTGTTCTGGAGAGAATAGATTGTTTCGAGATGTAATCTCTGGGATATTACTTTTGTCCGGGTTTTAAATAAGTCGTTTAATAACATGTGATGGGTCTATAGTTTTTCGGTTCTTCACTCTTTTTATTCTTTGGTATTAGGTTTCTTCTTCTTTGATTATGCTGTTGTAGGCTGTCGCTATGTTTCTAAGTGTAGCTGTAAGTTTTTACAGCCAAAAATTTGGTATCCTGTCTACTCCATGGTTCTTATTCTTGAAATAGGGGAGCAGCGTTCCCAGGAGAACGCGTGTTCCGTCTTTGTTACCTATATTATCAGTTGCATAACATTGAGAAAGACGGAACATTCTTTCTCCTGGGAACGCTTATCCCCTGTTTCAAGAATAAGGACCCAGGGGATTTCCAATTAGCGGAGGTGTTTATCGCTGTTCTGATTTTGGCTTCAGTTAATTCGTGGTTCTGTAATATTCATTTTGTATCCATGTTGCTTCACTGTTATGCTTCGACTCCTTTTCCCAAATGTTGTTCTAGTATTTCTCGATGTTTTTTCTTAAGGGAATTTCAGATGCTTCTATCTTTTTCTTGAGTACTGTGTTGTAGAAGCTCAAGTTGGGTTTTCTAGATTCAAGGTGTGATGGTTCTTTTCTGTAGTTGGCTATTTTCTGGTTTAACTTCCTTTTCCATGGTGGGTCTCCTTTTTCATTTTTGTTTCTCTTCTGTGTTTGTTTTTACCTGAGTTTTGGATAATTCTATTTTGTATTGTTTCTGCTACTGCATAAATTAGTTTGTTGAGGTTTGTTAAGGATTTAAATTGTTCTTGTAGAATTTCTTTCATTGATATTTTCATTATCATTCAATTTCTTCAACGGCACTCTTTGTATACTTTGAGCTGTACTGCTGTCTTCTCGAGTTTTTTTTAACGATTTCTTCAGTGAATTCCCGCCGTTCGAAATTTTTCTTTGTAGTATTTTTTCCTGACAATAACAACCTTGCCTCTTCTTGTGGCGAATGTAGAAGTACGAATTCTGCTGTTTCTGGGAGCGATATTGATGTTTCTACATCACAGTTGTTGATAGGTTATCCTTTCTTCCTTGGGTTTGAGTTTCTTGCTTGACTCTGGTGTGTATATCTTCTAGCTGATTATTTGTTAACTTATTCTTATTAAGTATGAATATTTTCTGTGTAGCTAGTGTGTTAGGGGTGAGTTTATCCTTAAAGGGGGTGTGACCCAAAAATGAAACTTTTAGTGCAAAAAAATCTAAGAATAAATATTCAAACCGCATCTTGCTACGATGGTCCGTTTTCGAGTTAGGGCGGTTTAAAGTTACAACTAGGCGTTTGTGACGTCACGCTGGATTTTCAGGGACAGTATTAACACGTTTGAGAATTCTCCAAAACAAAAGATAATTATCTCCTAGAGCGAATTGCAACCACTCAAAGTATAGGGTACGGTTCACTGACGACTGCGATTTCGGCGGTTGTGACTTCACAATTTCCTGCATAATTGATCTTCACAAGGAATTTTATCGGAGATTATTTTGAATACAGGACTGAGGTTTTCACGAGAGATCTTAGAATTTTTTTCTTGATTCAAGTATTAGCTTAAGTCGTTTTTTAGGGTCACGCCCCCTTTAAGGAGTGGATTACGTGTTTGCCATAATTTGTGAGTCTCTTTCACGTTAGCTGTTCCAGTATTTTCAAGAATATAGAAGTGACACCATATGATTTCTAAATAATGTTCTAAAGTCCATTTTTTTTCTTCCTGATTTATTTGGGTGATTAATGGTTGTGGACATGTCTTGATTTGTGGTTGAATGTATGTTGTCAGGTTTTCCATTACTTTTTGCTAGTACTGGTGGTTGATATCTTTCATGGACGGTTAGTGTTTTCCGGTTGATCTTCTGATATCTGATAATTATTATTATTATTATTTATGGATATCAGTGGTAGGCGGATGGGTAACCAATAGGACCACTGAGTCTTTTAGTTTTTCACAGCCCTAATGTACAAATGCATTGTGCCAGCCCCTCATTTCTGGATCCAAATGGTATTGAAATTGCTGTTGCACTAATTGTTCCATGACTCTATTTATCAGGAAGTTTCTTCTTAGTATTCTTTCTCGAGTTTCTGATTATGTCCTATGGTATTAGTGGCGAAAAAGAAGTTAATGTCACTGACATGCATAGTGACAATTCAGTATGGTCTTCCCTCAATCTGTCTTTCAATGTTTCTAGTTAGTTGGTTAAAGCGGCTCTCGTAGGGAATTTCTTGGAGTTGAATAGATATTTTTGTAATACAGGTTCTCTCTCAATCAGTAAAATGTCTTTGATGTAATATGGGTTCCAGATGGAATGGGTGTATTCAAGCTTTGGTCTTACATAAGCTTTGTAGAGCTTTAGAACCATTTCTTTAGACAGATTTTTGAATGAGATAGATTGGTGATTTGGCTTTTTTTGTCTTTTCAGTGATGTCTTGTCCCCATTTTAAGTCTGATGTGATTGTTCACAAAAATTAACAATTGACGTTTGTTGGAGGTTCAGGGTTATTCCGGCGGATATGTAGAACTGTGCACTTGAGGTCAATTCAATGGCATTTTCCATTCTTTGATGGTGTACAAGTCTTCCTGGAGGTCTGCAAACTGTAATAGTGGATTGCAGGACAGACTTGCGTCATCGACAAACGATTCATATTTGGTTTTTGGTATGAGTCACACAAATATGCCAAGAAAAGCAAGGGTCCCAAGACTGAGCCTTGTGATACGCCGCTGTATACAGGGTATTCCACTGAGAGTAATATTCCTGTCCTAAGCTTGCATAGTAAATATATTGTTGGTATCTTATCAAAGTCAAGAAAAACTACATCAATTGGATCATTCTCATCATCCGCATTTGTTCACATGTTAAGTCTGGTTAGGGGGTTCTTGACAGATTTTTTGGGGAGAAAACCATGTTGTTGGGGTGGTACAATATCAGCTTCGAAGAAAAAACGTGTCAAAATCAAAATAGTTTATTAGTGTTATAATTATAATTGAACCTTACTGAAGTCAATCAATATAGATAAAGCGTACATTTATCATAAAAATGACGCTAAGTATTATACATATCATTATTTTTAAAAAAGACAAAGAAACGCTAAAATTACAGTGGCTAATACTAAAGTTAAAATAAAGACAGAAAGTCAATTATAAAAATTAAAATAAAGGCTATGGTCCGAATATAGCCAAATGTTAACCAAAGTAACCGAATCGGTTGACAGATGGTTACTGAAAATTCCGGTTACTTGGGGAACGCGGATATGAAATACAAAATAATTGACGAAAACTACAGGTAAAACCAACAGAACCAACATCCGATGTCCGGTAACTATTTTGACATTTGGTTAACCTGATTTCAGGAAACCGAGGTCCAACAGTAACCAGTTTTCTAGGAACCAGAGTAATTTGATTACCTTCGGACCGCGTAACCACAACCCTGGTTATATTCAGACCACAGCCAAAATAAGGACAATTATTACAGGTAAAACTGCATGAAAAATGACAGAACATGTATATAACGACCAATCTATTACACATTAAAATTCATAACTCAAAAACTCTGTACAATCCTTGACTACACATGGTCGTTTATTCTATGTTTAGACAGATAGATAGATTTATTAAGACAATAAGCACTGCTGCTGTATGTCATCAATTACATGTAAAAAAAATACAATTAAAAAGCAACATTAAAATGAAATAAATAAAATAAAAAAAGTATATAAACACAAGTTACAATACAAAACACTGTAACAAATTTAAACAAACTAGATAAAGTATTTAGGTAACATTGTATTCGTCATGTATTCGTTGAAACTATAATTGGCCTCCAAGTAAATTCTGACTCACCGCTCGAACTTTTTCTGTTGTCTGATTTCTTTGACTTGCGGTGGTAGCTTATTGAACAGTTTTCCCATGTGTAGGAATGTATTTTTGGTCAGGGTAAGGCGGGATAAAGGAGTCTGGAGGTCATTCATTTGGCGAGTTCTATAGGGATGTATATCTGTGAGCGTTGTTCTGCGTCATTTCGGTGTTTATGCCAGTATCGAATGTTTTCAAAGATGCAAAGGTCGTAGAAAGTCAGTATTTTCAGCTCTTTGAACAATGGCCTGCAATGGATTCTCTGATTGTATATTCCTTTGAGCAAGCGAACTGCTCTTTTCTGTAATAAGAATATAATTTCTGTATTAACTGATGTAGAGAGACCCCAGTAGAGAATTCCATATCGCATGTGGCTTTCGAAAAGAGAGTAATATATTTGAGTTGCCACAGCCGGTCCAAGATTTTTCCAAAGTGTTTATTGCAAATAGCCCCGATGATACTTTCTTTGCCACAGCCGCTACATGTACATCCCATTTGAGATTTTTTTGGATGGTTATTCCGAGAAATTAATATTCGCTTCCAATGGTCAAAGGGGTGTTTCATATTCTTATCTGAATTTTCTTTTTTGTTGGATTGCTGAAATGAATGCACTTGGTTTTTTTTATGTTAAGCGACAGTTTATTTGTATTAAACCAGCTCTCCAGCATTTCCACATCTTCGTTTATCCTTCTCTGGATGTCTTCATCGCAGTCGCCAGTCCATGTGATCGTTGTGTCGTCGGCAAACAATGTTAGGTTTCCACTTATGGGAAGAGTCGCCAGTTCATTTATGTAGAGTATAAACAAGAGGGGTCCCAACGTAGACCCCTGTACAACACCATGCTTCAACTCTTTGATCTGTGATCTAATGACGTGGCCGTTTTGATCTCTAGTTTCTACTAATTGCTTTCGTTCCTTCAGAAAAGACTCAATCCATGCACCTATTGTCCCACGAAATCCATAGGAAGCCAATTTTGACAATAACTTTTTTTGATCGACACAATCGAACGCTTTCTCCAGATCCAGACCCACCATAACAATTATTTTATTTGAGTCTCTTGTTTCATATATGTGCTGCATGCAATTTCCGATGAACTGTTTCTCTGGTAGGTTCTTGAAAGAACCAGGGCTGGGACTCTGTAACAAATAATTCTCTATCTCTATTGAAGTTTTCTCTCTACTGATTTCGAGAAGAGAGAAGAAGACAGCAAGTGCCATAGCGATAGGGATAACGATCTCTATCCGTTACAGAATCCCAGCTCAGGTAACTTATTGAAAAAATGGATTGAGAAACAACTGGGACCACTCCTGCTTGTGAGTTCCTTAGCAATGATTTTTTCCATACATTTACATAGGACGCTGAGATATAATGTCATTCATAAGTGCTGCCAGAGTCCCCTTTAGAGTGTGCAAACAATTTTTAAGAAATATAGGAGGGATCTCATCAAGTCCTGGGCTGGAGTGTGTTGATTTCCGTTCTGGAGTAGGATTCAACTGGAAGTGTTGGTAATATTTGCTTGGCTGAGTTCAGATAAAAAAACACTTGGGAATTGCTGTGCAAAACACTCTGCAACCTCCTGATCAAATTCAAATAGGACTAGAGTTACTTTGTCAATAATACTGAAGTGGGTGTGCTTAGAGTTGGTTGTTTGGTGTTATTCAATAGATTTTGTTGATATTGTTTTCTTGACTGTACAACTGTTGACCTTATTATTTTGATGCTGATACTGTAATTTTCTTCAATATTGTTAGGCTTGTATTTGTGCCACAAGTCTCTTTTCCTTAGTATTTCATATGCTTGTTGATTGTAAATCCCCAAAGCCTCAAAGAATTATTTAAATGAATGTGGGTAAGTAGCCTATACAAGTTTACTCCAGTGTAATCTGCCTTCCAAAAGTCCCTTTTGTAGATTTTATGTGTAGGCTGTAATTGCACAGCTGTGTTTTCGCAGTCTTCACAATGTGGTCACTTTTTCCAAGCGGTGCATTTTTTTGAACATCAGAAATTAATTTCTTGTCATTTACAAAAAGCAGATCTAGAAGAGATATTTTGTCCATCTGGAACCTTGCGGAAAAATGTATGTAGATGTTGATAACCTGTATGGTTTTTGTAGCTGTCCATAAAGTTTTGATTACACTAATTAAGATTTAACAATAGTAACTTGTGCTTTTTTTTATAGTTTACTTTCAACTTTTTTCAAGTTCCATTGGATAATGGTGTCTCGAAATCAATCAGCAAACAAAAAAAATCAAGAACAGAGCTTAAGCTACGCACACAAAGAAAGCTGGTTGCTTGCTTGCTGGCAACAAGCGCTTTTAAGCGCCAATAATTGAATCCACGTTTAAATGCACCCGCACACAGACAAAGCAGGTCGGCGCTTGTTGCCAGCGCAGATCGGCGCCGACTTTTTATCAGAATTAATTTTTAGTTCTTGGTCGCTAGTCTTGAGCTGGACTTGCATCGATAATGGATGTCGAATTACTGACTTTTGCGATTTTTCAAAGAAATACATTATGGGACAAACTTGACTTAAGTCCCACAGCAACAGGAATATAGTGCAGATGGACTAAACGGCGATATTCACCATGAAGTTTTCATTCACGATTGGATGTATACCTTGCTCAGTGCGTTGCATCATCCTTAGGAATGTATTTTCCGTCAATAAAAAGTCTTTATCTAAAAATGAACTAGACATCTTTGTAGTATAGAAATTGCGTCTAAACTGGCCGAAAACCGGCGTTCATTGTGTACTAGTGAGATGACTTGTAGGCGCTGATTTTTGGCGCCGGAAATAGGCGCTGATTAACCTGCTTTCTTTGTGTGCGTACCAACGTACCCTTACAACTGATTTATTCTAGTCATTGAATCACTGTCATGTATATTATTGTCGTTTTTATCTGCCCAACTTACCTTTTAAAGGAGGACACTTCAAAGAACCAGTAGATGGAACAGGAGCTGTAATAAAATAATTATATAGGGCATGTGGTTTAATGTAAAAGTGAAAACGAATTTACCTGTTCCGACAAGAAACTTGAACTTATGCTTCTGTTCTTCCTCTTTTTTGATGCTAGAAAAATGACATAGGCATCAACAATTTAATTCAAACAAATGTTAAACTTACCTTAGCTCACATTCCAAGGCGATGGATTCGTTTATGCAAAACAAACCATCGTCGTCACTTCTTTTGTACAATTTCACCAATGGAATGTCATCGATTTTGGTACCAACACATTTTAAAAGCGCCGACTGGCCGATCGGCAGCGCTTTTTCGGCCAAGGCTGTGAAATTTACTGGAAGTCTGTCCAGGGCCATTCTCACTCTGATTGCTTGATGCGGATAACTATTTAGGAACTCGTCGACATTTTCCAATGGATAAAGTTTATCGTCGGAACCTTCATATGTATCAATAACCGCAGTTCTGCCTTCGTCCACAAAATAAATTTGGGCCAGGTGCTGGGCTTCAGGCGACCAGTCTATCACCTTAACTCTGTGCCAATTTCTAGAAACAATAAATTGACATTAATTATTTATTTATAATGGAATTTACATAAACACAGAGATAGGACACTTTCAAGTTCACTGAAACAGGGATTAAATGTGCTACTGTGCTACTGACATTTCTCCATGTAAAAATGTCAGTTTAGGAAATACTTATCGTTAAGGCTCCCCTAAAACAGTTGGTGGAAACGGCCATTAAACTCCTAAATGCCAAACCTCCATTTGACTTGGTTTTGTTGAAATGTAAAGTGCGTTTTTTTTTTAAAGATAAAAGTCAAACTGACATTAGGTTGGCAATACAATGTAAAATTGTCAATGCTTTCAAATTTTTCATGTAGAAAAGGCTTGTGTTGCCAACATAGTTACTAAATTTTTGACTTGGGGACTTATCTTTAAAAAAAAAAGAGATTTTATGTATGTTGAAATGTATGGAAACAGTCTCGTATTCCAGAACAGGCTTTAGCAGAATGTACAATATTCCATACCTGGGGTTTTTTGGGACTGCCCGATTCAATGGGGGTATTTGGGTTGTTGTCAAGTTGCACCGAACATCAACTTTTCGTGGTCGTTGTGTATGTGTTTCTATCATTCAGTGCGGATTACAGTCTGACGAAAACTGGCAATTATGTCAATTCACCTCACCAGGCAGACTAAAAGTTGCTTCGTCTGAAAGCAGTATCTGATTTTTGATGTTACCATTCTGGTTCATCCTATATCCATCATTATCTCACGAAGCTGAATTCTTCAGTTAAAATCATCTACATTTAATTCTTGCAGTATTTGAATTCTGAATTGTCAAAAATAAGCTACATTATTGCCAAGAGGTGAATGGTGACCACTTTGAGCACTACAAGGTTGTATTTAAGTTTTGTTATTTATAATTTTTCTGTCGTTAAATTTTGATCATTTTCGTTTCCATACATTACCATAAAAAAGCTGTGTTGCCACATTTCAACAACCAACTAAGTTGGATGAAGGTTTGACATTTAGGGGTTTTAGTAATGTTGGGACGCTGAATAAAAATAAATACGGGCATCCATTAGAAAAAATCAAGTTACAAACGGCATCTTAGAAACGGTAAACTTGGCAATATTGCAAATACCACCATTGAATCGGGCATTCCCAAAAACCCTCAGACAGGGAATATTGTATATTTTGCTGAAGCCTGTTCTGATAAACGAGACTGTTTCCATACATTTCAACAGAAAATCTGTGTTGCCATATTTCAAAAACCAAGTCAAATGGAGGTTTGACATTCAGGGGTTTAAGTAATGTTCGGACGCTGAATTAATTGCAATAAAAATAAAGAGGGGCATCCATTCAAAAAAATCAAGTTACATATGGCATCTTAGAAACGGTAAACTTGGCAACATGGCAAATACCACCATTCAATCGGGCATTCCCAAGAACCCCCAGATAGGGAATATTGTACATTTTGCTAAAGCCTGTGCTGGAATACGAGACTGTTTCCATACATTTCAACAAAAAATCTGTGTTGCCATATTTCAAAAACCAAGTCAAATAGAGGTTTGGCATTTAGGAGGTTTAGTAATGTTGGGACGCTGAATTAATTACGATAAAAATAAAGAGGGGCATCCATTTAAAAAAATCAAGTTAAATACAGCATCTTAGAAACGGTAAATTTGGCAACATTGCAATCACCACCATTGAATCGGACATTCCCAAAAACCTCCAGGTAGGGAATATTGTACATTTTTCTGAAGACTTGTCTGAAATACGAGACTGTTTCCATACATTCCAACAAAAAATCTGTGTTGCCATATTTCAAAAACCAAGTCAAATGGAGGTTTGACATTCAGGGGTTTAAGTAATGTTGGGACGCTGAATTAATTGCAATAAAAATAAAGAGGGGCATCTATTTAAAAAAATCAAGTTACATATGGCATCTTAGAAACGGTAAACTTGGCAACATTGCAATCACCACCATTGAATCGGGCATTCCCGAAAACCCCCAGGTAGGAAAGATTGTACCATCGTCACCAAAAGTATACATTTTTTTCAAGCCCGTTCTGAAATATCAGATCGTTTCCATACATAACGACAACCCTGTATATTTATTTTTAATGCATTTTAATCACTAGTCTTTTTCCTCAGTGTTAAAAATAGAAGGTCTAAAGCAAAACCGCTAAGGGATTAAAAGTATCTTTGAATCACTTTACACAAGATTGACTTTAGTCCCAGGGATAAAATACTACTAATACCTTATTTGATTAATTCTTACCCTTCATATTGCGTGAAAAATAGTTTATCCTGGCAATTAGATTTCGTGAGTTTTATAGGATTTGTTGGCGGATTGACGTTAAATTGACTCTCTATTTGAGCCTTCAAGTTCACAAACTCCATGTAGCCCTGCGATCGAACTTGAACATACACATTCCCATTACCCTCGATAAACGAAATATACACATTTGTTATATCCTAAAAAGAAAAAGATCCATGTAAAATTATATTCGTTTGTACTTATGTGTAAAATATTTAATAGTATATAAATAAGTCAATAACAATAATTACTTGTTGTAAGTTGGGTGAAGCAGCTTCCATTGTGAGTAAAGGGATCAGAGTTTCATTGATGCAGCTATAAGTAGTAGTATACATATAAACAGGCAAAGCCATCTGGTCGCCGTCGTTATCTAAGCAAAAAACATTTTGGGTCAGAAATCATTTGATTTTATAAAATTACGTTCGTTATTTGGACAAAAATTTAAGTTCTTTATTGGAAAGTCTGGAGATAAGGGTAGTAGATGAACCTAGGAAGCCCAGCAATTGGGCTGTTGATTGATCAATAAAAAAATACTCAGTGTTTAGATAATTTTTGAAGTAAATTATTTATCTAGATTTAAATGAAATTTTAGAATGGAGCAAAAGTGCTTTTGCTATATGGTGAAAAGACTTATAAAACGTGCACCATGAACTATTTTGGAATGAAAATGTGGTACATAACATTTCTGAGCTATTAAAAGTATGTACCTTTTATCAAAAATATATATACCCACCTACACTAAATACAATACTTACTAGTTACATCTGAGGCCAGCTCCAAGTACACTTGTTCATCTTGCAAACTTGCAAGGCACTGTGAATTAGCTGACATCTCATACCAATCTTCTAGACCAGCTAGTCTACAGACAAAAGCCTGAAAATATGGAGAATAATTCAGTATGTTTATATTAATTTGTTCAGCTGTGGTGATATTAGTAAGGGATAGATATCAAACAAAATTTTTCAACAATTTACATTCAGCTCATTCAAATGTATACAAAGTTGCAGATATTTATTTATGTCCAAAAGGTTTTTGATCGCACTGTACAAATTTACATAGGTAATGTTTTTCTAGAAAAAGCAATAATATGTTTTAAATGCCGCACTTGGTAATTATTCTAAATAAGATGCTTAAAATAAAATTATCATAATCCAAGTTTTAAAAAAATGTATTCACCTGTGCTTGACAAGTAGCATACACACTAGTCAGTGTGAAAATATCAGTTTTTGCCATCGATGTTTCTTCACCAGAGTCGATAAAGAAGCATCCTAGAGTATCCTCTTCAACTTCCACTACTCTTACCCTGAAACAAAATGAATAAAATACTTTCACTGAAAATTGAAAAAAAAAGTATACACCTCACCTGTAATAATCACCCTGAAATTTGGCTATGTAGTAAGCACCTTTAACAATTTCTTCAGGTATGCATTGTTGTTCGTGTTCTGTGTAGTAGACTTGCATCCGATCAAACATCTCAATATAATTAGTCTATAAAACAAAACAATTAATTCTCAAATTAATTCATACCGCTTTTTAATTTACATTTTCCTCGGTTTCAACTTGTTGGCACCAAATCTCGTTAGCTGACATTACTCTAGTGACAACACAAATCAACTGACCCTCTTCACTGAACTTTACAGTATTAGTTGGCACTGAAACGGGAATAATCAGACCCCCAGGGCTGCGTTGCTGACCTCTCTGTAATACCTTAAATTTTAGTAAAAACACACCGATTAGGTTAAAGCATGCCCAAGCCACAAGCTGTTAAAGTTTCAGCAATCACCACACTGCATCGATGAAGCAATTCCATGCCAAACATGATAGCCTATGAGGAGATAATAGTGAAGAATGTGCTTTGAGAAAGTCATTGTAGGTAATATTTTATATAAATATATACAAAAGCTCAGGTTATGTATTTTTATTAAATAAAATGATTAATGGAAGATAGTTTTTGTTAGTTTTGTGAAAACTTACCCTGCCATTCTGTACAAGGATGTAGCATGTAAAAGTTAAAATTATTTACATTATATTATTTGAAATTTACGAAACACTGTATGTAAATTCATGAATTTACCATAACTAAATCTATATAATATAGGTTTCAAACCAATATTTTTACACTACTAATAATTTTTTAACTACATGGTACATTAATGAATTTGCCATCAATAAGTCTATGCCATTACCATTACTGTGAATAATAATTAACCAAATGTAGACGAGAATGCGAAAAATTAAGGCAAACAAATTTATGAAATGGCAATCACATTAAGCACAAGAAAACCAACACAATAATTCAAATAATGGTTAAGTTATAGAAATTAATTACAAAAGTTGTATTGTGTAAAACTCAGAAATAATAATTACCAAAATCTATGACAAAAAAAGAAGATATCGCCAAGTTTTACACACATTAATTGTTGAAAAGAAACCACTCAAGTTCCCACTAAACAATACTTACATCACCAGGTTTACAATGGTACAATATGTATTGATTATTGTCACTTATTTTTTCAATCCTGACACAAGGGCTAGCATCAATCGTTTTCAGCCAGTCGTCAGGTAGCAACTCATGATACTGGACTGCGTAATTATGACTCAACTGGGTCGAGAAAATGCCATATCTGTGTTTCTCTAACATTGGTGGAATTCTATATTAGAAAATTCAATAAAGAACAATAATAGAATATGAACAATAAAACAAATTAACCTTTCTAAGATATCTGTTTCACTGGAAATCATAAGGCTTTTTTGTCTGCATTTTGGAATTAAGTTTTCCAAAGCCTCATTGCTACAGAATGCTGTGGCTTCGTTTGCATTATAAAAGTCCTTGGGATAACTTGAAAACGTATTTTTTCCTACCTAAAAGAAACAATCATAAGATCTACTATTCTACTAATCAATAGGCAACAAAAATAATTACCTTTATCTTACAAGAATAAAACTTTACATGTTTATTATTCACATTAGTAACTTCCACAATAACTTCGCCCAGTTTATGAAGCTTGGCAAGCAATTTCAAATCCTCCAACGGATTTTCTGTCCTGACAAATTCATTCGACTTTCTAGAAGTTTTCTGTGCATTATAGAAACTTGGTGTCAGAGGTGAGGACGGACTCGCTTGTGCTGGATTTATGAACGAAGACGAACTAGGCAATATAGAGCCAAACGGACTAGGCAACTGTTGCGGGATGTCACTCGTTGGGCTACTATGACCACTACTTATGAAAAAAAAAATGAATAGTAAACATTTTATTATTTCCATCTAATTTCACCTGTCAAGATTTAATTCACACATTTTCTTGTTTATTCTTCTTCTCGAAGATATGAGTGGATTTGTAGATTCATCATCATTTTGAACACGTTTTGATTGAGTAGTTGACACATTATTGCTAAAAATAATAAAGATTAAATCACTTGCTACAACTAGTTTTGCAGAAAAACTTACCTAGCAGTTGCTTTACCATTATGACTGACCAAATATTGATTTGAATTATTGCATTCTGAAGCTTTTACATTGTTCGAATTGGATTTTTGGTAAGATTCAACTGTGCGTTTGTGTTTGTCATATTGTGTAGGCACATTTTGTGAAACATTCCGAAGCGCTGGTCTATTATAACTGGAGCCTTCTGGAATCTGTACCTGCATCTAAATGATATTATAATATCTATAGAAATTATTAGAAATTTTACATACCCTAGATGCAACAGAAGGAGTTGCAGGCCTAGACGATGTCCTGGTGACAAATTGTGCATGGTGAACTGCTTGAGGCCGTGATTGACCATAGTTATAGTTTCTAGCCGAACCTGTTCGGTTGTCAACCCTAGGCCTATATCTGGACGTACTATGATTTCGATTGAGTGGTGGTGGCCTATACATAGGCCTAGACTTTAGGCTATAAAATAAAACATTAAATTGATAAATAACCCACAAATGTAGCAGTTTTCCACCACACAAAACTTACGGTTTGTGTTTCCCACTTTTCTGTTGTTTCACCAATCTTGACATATGGCTACTGTTACCATTCTGCACCACCACTTCAACATATGTCTCATTTCCGGCGCGAGTCAACCTATATTCTGGTTGACTCTGCAATAAGTCTTCTAGGGATCGAAAACCAAACCTTTGATAGGGAATATTCTCACCTATCAAGGTTTTGTAATCCTCTATAAAAGAGAAAACATTTTGCATGATTACTATTAGGATGAATCTTTTTTATAGTTAACCTACTATTTAGTTGCCGCAAACTAAGCTTCTCCTTGCAAGAATTAATAGCAGGAGTTATCAATTTCTTCAACTCATCCATGCTTACTTCGTATACTGAAAAATTAAATTTAATATATAAAAATGGGTATAACAATCAGTTACTGTTAGCATATTATCATCAATGTAGAAGGAAACTAGACATTTTTTCTAAAGAAAAATGATATAACTTCCAGAGATGAATACACTCTAGATTATTTGTCAACAGTTTGTCCCAAAATGTATTGGAGGTTTTTGAGTGAAGAGACAAGGGAAGAAAATTCCTGGTTTCAAAAAAACACCTACTATGACTTATTGAATGTTTTTCAAAGCTTTTTTAACATGAATGAATAATTATTATTTGTCATAATAAGGATTATCAAAAAATCACGTCATTTCTGATGAAACGAAGGATTAATCATAATTAATTTGTAAACATTTTAGCCTTTAGAATCGTATTTGTTAAGACCCTCTCTGATGGTCACTTGCCTTTGGATAGATTTTTATTTGTTAAGACTTTTCTGTATAATCAAATTTTCTAATTTATAATATTATGTAGGTACCTAATATACGATGCAGATAATCATTTCCTGTTTTGGAACCCATATCTCTTTGGATGTCGGTATAATAATAGATTATTTGGAATTTGGATAGATAAAAAAGCACTAACTATCAGGCTGCCGATATAGGTATTTTTATGAATAATTATTGTTAAAATTAATTTATTTGTTGAATATCCACATGTATGCCTATATATTTTATTCAAACTCGCAGTGTCCAATTTATTTATTTATATACCTATTACGTAAATAATAATTAAAACCAAAAACTTACTTGAACGATTTTTTCTTTCGAACTAAATCAGTGTACCGTTAAAATACACAATAAGAAATAATTATACTTATTAAAAAACTTTCACCTACGGAGAAGAAATCTGAATGTTGCTCTGACAAGTCACTTCGAATTCTGGTACCCTTCAAATTTATGAAGCATAAAAAGAGAAATGTTACACCAAATAATATGGATCACAGATGCCTATTTGGTTCTTTGAAGGGCGACATAAATATAAAATTTTATGTGTTTTGAAAGCAATAAATTATACAAGATGTCATTGATTGTACCCAAGCCAGTGAGAAAGAATCATAGCAGGTAGAAAAGCTACAGTTTTAAGGCTAACTTAAAAATATAATATTATTCAAAATTAACACTTGATTTCAATAAATTCCTGCTCTAAGGCCAGTTTGTTTTTTTCTAATGAAGTAAATAAAATAAAAATATTCTTTATTGGGTATGTGGGCAATCTAACTCCCATTGCTGTTGAAGACATTTTACTTTTGAATGGGGATGATGAGGACTTGAATGGCAATGAAGGTTTTGGTTCGGAATCGGAGTTTAAATTAGAGAATATGATGTTCGAATGGTCCTTACTACTATCTATTTGTGTTACTAATATAATATATGCATTCGGAGATAAATGAGAAGGAAATTTTTGTGCCATTAGGCATTGTTGTATCGACATGTATTATGAATCACTGATAAATACATGATTGTACAATGATTCACAATTTTTTTAATCATCAAACATATTATTTATGAGTAATGAAAACTGAAAAGTTTTTTAATCATTCTCTTATCACGTTCTTAAAGATTGTGCAATAATTCAAGATTGCTGTAACCGCACAATAATTGTATAGGTACATGATAAGAATTTTGCATAGAGAACAGCTTGGAGGTCAATTATGAAATTGCAGTGATGAAATTCTCAATAAAATAATGGAAGTAAGTAACAATAATTAGTGTGACTTTCTTGTTTTAGGTATTTCTTTAAAAATAATGCACTAATGTGATGTTTATGATACAAAGACTTTAATCTATTAAGTCTATTTTTAGAAATGTTTATGTTTGGTGCATTTTGTTTTTGAGTTTAGGGAATTCTATTTATAGACTCGATTAGTTGAAAAAAAAATTTCTTCCAAGAAGAAGGGTTCTCTCTTTTTTAAGTATTTGGTGGTGTCCCTTAAGGTTTAAATTTCGATTCTTCTGAAACATATCTTCTAATAGTTTTATATCTGTATAGTAGTACCCTTGGTAGTAGCCATTTGGGATTTTGTATGTTTAAAAAAAAATCTCCTCTTTGCTTTCCCAAAGTGTTGTCAATTGAAATTTTTGTAGTCTTGTTTCGTAGGGCAGGTTTTTTAATTCTATTAGAATTTTGGTTATTTTGCTATGAACACTTTCTAGGAGATCCATCTCTTTGATATAGTAAGGAGACCAAACTGTGTGGCTATATTCAAGTTTTGGTCTAATGTAAGTGGTGTACAGTTTTTTTTTTTTTTCATTTTTATAGTTTGATTTTCAAATGCATGTCTCATAAGCTGTATTGTAAGTAATGATTTTTGAATCAAATTACAAAGTTCTGAAATTGCAAAACAAGATACATCATTAAGAGAAGCAATACCATCAACAAAAAGGTCAATGCTCGGGTCAATGTTTATTTATTTATTTTATTTCTTTAGGATACAACCGGATCAGGTCTAAAAATAATCTTGATAGTACAATGTTTATGTCTATAAGTTTGCTTTGATTACGGTATCCGCCAAAATAAACAATACCGAAATCTAGAGCTCTGGGTAATTGGGAACGCAAGTTGCATTTATCATATTTCCTTCAACCAGTTTTCTCAGTAGAGCACTCTTTCCGGTCATACGGAGTTGGAAGGAATAAAGGCTCAAGTTTGAAACAAGTCACAGAAAAATTTCAGGAGCTACTCTTAATAAATATTTTCAATGATTTGCAGAATCGTTATGAAGCTTTTTTGCGTCGCTATGATGCATTTTTTGAACATTACGCATAATACGGATATACATAAGGAAGTTGTATATGAGCAACTCTGTTTAAATTTTTTTTGTTTTATAATTAGGTATTACCTGCATAAATAAAGATATTTTATTATTATTATTATTATTATTATAATACAAATTAATAAATGATATAATTTGTATGTTCCGTACTGTTTATTTTGGCGGATAATGTATTTACTATGTAACTTTAAATAATATCAAATATCAGGTAAACGGGTCCAAATTAATACCAGTGCAATGCAAGTTGGCAGCTTTAACCATTCTTTTCAAAGGTGCATCCTGGTAGGAATTTATCCTACAATATGAAACACAAAATAATTCATGGTTTCTAAGTCTATGAGCAGGTAATGGGTTATTCAGGTCATTGGTTATTCACTATATTTTGACCCCCCACATGCAGCCTTAACCTTCACAGGAAGATGATAGGTGTAAATACAAAAGTTGTAGAAATTTTAAATTATGCATACTTTTAACTTTTTCCAAATGGAAGGCCCTATATTTGATTCCATATTCTTGAAGAGCACAATTTTCCGATTCCAAAAATATATAGTTTCTCTATATTTAGTTGAGCAGTCTCAAACATATTTGGCTCCAAATTTTTAAAATACTGTCAGGGAAACCTATTACCTCAAATTTAACCTGCAGCTTTCACATTTATTTACAAATAGAATGATCACAAAATCTAAGTCAGTAGGATGGTATTTTTACAATTTTTAGAGCCAAATATGTTGAAGGCGGCTGAGTCAAATATAGAGAAACTATGTATATATTTTTGGATTTGGAAAATTGTGCTCTCCAAGAATATAGAATCAAATATAGGGCATTCCATGTGAAAAAAGTTGGAAGTCTGGCGAAGGATTCTAAAAATATAATTAAAACTACACAACTTTTGTATTTACACCTATCATCTACCTGTAAAGGCAAGGGCTGCAGGTGGGGAGCCAAAATATCAATGCAAAATATAGTGAATAACCCGGTACATTAAACCTTATTTTAGAAAGAATATTTGGAGACCCTAGATAAATTATTATGAATCTCTCGATTAATTTTGAATAAAGTTTATGCACTTTTGTCAAAAGTGACATTGCAGAATACAATTTTCATGCGACACCACGGAAGCAGAAAACATGCAACTCACAAAAACCATTGAAAATGCATTCTTACTGAAAGTACCAGTCTACATCATGAGAGACTTCAATTACCCAGAAATAAAGTGGAATACACTGCAAGTCCATCCAAATGACCACTGCAGTCAAGCTCGAAAGCTATAAAAAACATAGGGGGTACCAACAAATTAATTTTCCAACAAGAATCTGCAATACCCAGATATCATTACTTGATCTACTTATAACCAATGAAAAAGGTTAGTTTTTTGATATCAAATCACATGCACCCTTGGGAAAAAGCGACCATGTTGTAATCACAGCCAAGTCACAAATCAATGTAGCTGCTCAACCAACCAGAAAAATTTACAAAAGGCAATCTTGGAACGCAGATTACATCGCAGTCAATGAAACACTTGGACGGGAATTTAGAAGATTGGCAAACCCATTAAATTTCAACCAATTCTATGAGGCTTTAACAAACACATCCCTAACAAACCCCAAAAAGTTAATCCACAAAAACCAGGGCTCACAAAGGAATTTGTCAAAGAGATTCAACAAAAACGAAATCTTTGGCATAAATTAATATCAAAATAATAAATCTGAAGATAATAATCAAATCTATCAACATCAAAACAACAAAACAAAGACTTGTACAGTATCGGCCAGAAGAAACTATGAACACAATCTATAAGCTAACACTAAACAATTCTATTCATACATAAGCCGTTCGCTAAACTCAAAGCATGCCAGCTTCAATGTAATAGATAAGGATACCGCAACACCGCTTAAAACTGACCAGGAAATTGTAGAGTGTTTCGCACAACAGTTTGAGAGTGTTTTTACTATTCTGGATGCAAACAACCTTAGGCCCACACTACCACTAAATACTTATACAATAACTGAGATAAATCACATTGAATTTACACCAGAAAAAGTAGAAGCTGCCATAACATCATTAAAATCCAACTCAAGTCCTGGAATGGATGAAATTTCTTCCATTTTTCTCGAAAACTGTGTGCAAGTTCTAAAAGCACCCCTAGCGAATGTGTTAAACATCTTATTGACAACTGGGGAATTTCCAGAATCCTGGAAGAAAGCCATTGTCACACCAATATTTAAGAAAGGAAATAAACAATTAGCAGAAAACTACAGGAAAACATCATAGCAAAAGAACTTACATCTTTCTTTTTGGAAACTAAGATTATTCCTTCACAGCAGCATGGCTTTCTTTCAAAGAAATCCACATTCACTAACCCTCTAACCAGGCTCAACGACTGGACACTAGCTGATGACAACCGGGAACCAATAAATGGGGTCTACCTTGACTTCGAAAAGGCATTTGACAAAATACCAATCAAATACCTACAATAAATACAAAATTCAGCATTTTGGAGTCAAGGATGATTTGCTAATACTAATCGTGTGAAGGTTTTTTGTCTGGTCGTACCTTCCAGGTACGAATTAGTACTAGCCTGTCGCAGGAGCACCAGGTACCTAAACATCGGAGTTGCTCAAGGCTCAGTTATTGGTCCCCTTAACTTATATTGTAACCCTCTATTACAACATAATGATCTACAGCAAGATCTGGAATAAAAGAATGGACAACAAATTGGAGAATGCCACTTGATGATTTCAAATGTACTATACTACAAATCGGACAAAATAACCCAATTTAAAGCTATTTTCTACAACAAACACCAATAGCAACTGTTGCGAAGCAGTAAGGATTTTGAATCACAGTTACAGCAGACCTAAAATGGGAGACTCACATTACTGATGTAACAAAAAAGGCCAATTCAATGACATATCTCATCCAAACAGCATTCAAATACCACTCTAAAGAGATGATTTTGAAATTCTATAAGTCCTACATTTGACCAAAACTTGAGTATGCCGAATAAATCTGGAACGAACCCTTACTATGCGAAGGACATTGAACAACTCGGGCGATCTCAACAGCGAGTTACTAAAATTCCTAGTGAACTTAAAGAACTGCCACATGAAATCAGACTGACTCAATTAAACCTGACCACACTGAAGTACCGCAGAACTAGAGGAGATCTTATCGAGACATTCAAAATTCTAAATGGATACTATGCCTGCAACTTAACCAATATATTAAGCGGCCACAACAAAAAGCTATCCAAAGAAAAGTGCAACAAAATGCTTAGACGAAACTTCTTGTCCAACAGGGTAGTGTATCATTGGAACTCTTTGAGTAGCAACACCATAAACTCAAGACTAAGAACCAATTCAAAATCGCCTTGATAAAGATATCGAAGACTGGAACAATATGTTTGTGTATTACTCTGCACCACCAATCAAAATGAGATTATTGAATATACTAAACAGTGATATACATAGTACAACAGACTTAGTAGTGTCATCGGATTTGGAATCCGCCTACTACTGAAGCCTATTATAATAATAATAATAAAAAAAATAAGTTAAAATATCAGTTATTGTTTGTCTTCGTCCTAATTCAAAAATTTTAAAGTGAGATAGAGTGGTTACTTTGCCTTACCTCGCTATAGGGGACTCATTCTCAAGTTTTTATGTATACCACATGCTGCTGCCGCACAGGTCTAACCAATTCTTCCCAAATTGTCTTTGATGTACCGCCTGTCGAGGGAACTCTATTGAAGGAGAACAAACGCGTTTAGTCTTGTTTGTCGTGACGCCCACATTAACAACCAAACAAATTTATTTGGCCGTTTTCTTTTGCTGTATGAATACAGGCCTTTAAAGGTATTTTTTAGAAAACTGATAAACAAAAATTAAAACAGCATTTTCTTATTTTTCGCTTATAGAT